GCTGCAAAAGTTAATAGTACTTCGCAGACAGCCGCACGAGCGAGGAACCTTGACGCAGCCATTACAGTGCGATCTACAGGCACTGAATTGCGAAACACAAAAGAACTGCGCGCAACGGCGCCAGAAATTGCAGCTCCAAAACCTCTCCGCGCCAAAGGGAAAAATCACGATTTTGATGAATTTTCACACGGAGAAAATCTACTGAAAAATCACTATCGCAGCCGCTCCAATACGATTCACGACTCTCAGCTGCAAAGGACAATAGTAAAATAGTATTGCGCAGGCAGCCGCACGAGCCAGGAATTTTGACGCAGCCATTACACTGCGATCTGCAGACACTGAAGAATTACAAAGCACAAAAGAAAAAACACAAGGTTTCGTGTTCCGGCTTCCTCCCCAAAACAAGCCCCATGCAACATTCATGCAGCCATTACAATGCGTTTTGCAGCATCACATGGCAAACACGAATCTCTCTACGCACATGCAACAAAACATGACAAGACTCGCACCACCCGCAATGAGTGTATTGTTATGTAAAGTTTCACATCGCCCTCCATGAATGTATTGTTATTTGATGTAAAGTCTCACACCGCCCTTCATGAATGTATTGTTATGTGATGCAAAGTCTCACACCGCCCATGATGAATGTATTGTTATTTGATGTAAAGTCTCACACCGCCCTTCATGAATGTATTGTTATGTCATGTGGAGTCTCACACCGCCCTTCATGAATGTATCGTCATGTGATGCAAAGTCTCACGCTGCCCGTAATGAATGTATCGTTATTTGATGTAAAGTCTCACACTGCCCTTCATGAATGTATTGTTATGTGATGTAAAGTCTCACACCGCCCTTCATGAATGTATTGTTATGTGATGTAAAGTTTCACACCGCCCTTCATGAATGTATCGTTATGTGATGTAAAGTCTCACACCGCTCTTCATGAATGTATTGTTGTGTGATGTAAAGTCTCACACCACCCTTCATTGAGTAAAAGTCATCCGTAACTCGGAAGATTGCTTCCCGACTTCCTTTGATCATACATATATATATATACACCCTCTCTATATATATACATAACCCATCAAGCTAACCCTTTGGTAATTTCATATAATTTGTGACCTAGCTATCTGGATAAGTTAAAATATATTCAACTAATTCATGAACCTGAACGATTTTAAATGGTGATTTTGCATAACTATGAAACACCACCAGAGGGTAACTGGATTACAATATGTGGTTCTTATACGCTTACTAAGTGGGACGCACCACAAAGTACCGTCCTAGTCACTCAGCGAATAGGGATCAGACTCTGACGGAGGATTCAACTAGCAAGACTTGGGAGTCAGCAATGATGTAACCCACAGAATATGACTATGGAGAAAACCATGAGAAATGTCAGAAATATGACATGTGCCAAGTGGCAAGTGGCTAGTCACCTAGTCCACCCAATCTTCAAGTAACTTGACCAAAGGGCCGGTAGGGTCAAGTTGTTGGGCCCCAATTCCATGGCTTTCCTTTGTGATATTCATCCCATATGTTAAGGTTTTCTTGAGGGATTGGATGTATGTCTGCATGTCTGCATGTATGTATGTATGCATCTGCCTGTCTGCCTGTCTGCCCGTCTGCCTGTCTGCCCGTCTGCCTGTCTGCCTGCCTGCCTGTATGTATGTCTGTATGTCTGTATGTGTGTAACCAGGCCAATCTATTGCAAAAAATCAGGACCTGAAAGGAACATTGGAACAGCTGGTTCTTAGTGGCTCGATAAGTGCCATTTCCTGCATGTGGAGATGCGATCAACCCATCATGGGCTGTCTTTTTGGGGACAAATATGGGTATGGGTCAACATTTAACTGAGCTCTGTCGAACCATAGATTTTAGTACATGTTTAGTATCAAACATCGAACAAAAATTAGATGCCTAATTTTGAACCATACCCATTTATCACCTATTATACCATCCAGAATGGAGATGTATTTGACTTACAAAACCAACCATTTGATGGGGTGATATATTTACTAGATTTTACTGCTATATTGCGGGATCATGACAAATATTTCTCTCAGTATCTGCGTGGGTCCAAACCTGAGATACGCCAGATACCTTCAAAAAAAGGTGCTGGACTCCTGGATGTCCATCACATGGAAGACACGTCTGCACATAGAGTCATGCCCACATCTATTGCGTACTTTATCTACTTGCCTATCTATTGCTCAAAAGGTGTACGCGCAAACCATAGATCAGGGGTCAAACGTTTCTCCATCCGACTATACTTACATATGTGACTATAGGTACGTTACTTATACTTATATGTGATTATACACATGTATATACACATGTATACATGCATGGCCATATACAGTCATATCTATACATATATACAGTACATATATGTATGAATACACATATATAGTACACATACACATACACATACACATATATATATAAATACACATATGATTATATGATTATTTATATATATATATATATGTGATAATTGATAAATGGCCACATAGGAATGACGTGTTGTTTCCCGGCAATCTCGGCTGAGTGGTCGGGACAACACATCTTGGACCACAGGTCTTCCTCAAGCGTCGGGGCACAAACATGCTGCCTCAACCAGCAAGACATATGGGGATTTGAGATGATTCAAGAAACAAACATGGTGATCTAAACATTTTTACTAGAACAGATATTCAAACATATGAGTCATAAGAGGTTTCATTGGATTGGTTGAAGGAACTATTAGCAGGAACATTGTAGTGTTTTCCATGTGTTTCGATGTGTTTTTCCAACCAGATTGGGAATTTTGTTCGACACCAATTCTAGTCCCGTTTATGGCCAACGATCAAAGTATCAACTCAACCAAGATTTACCTAGGGACCTTGGCATCTAGGAATCGAGTCCAGTCATCTAGTGATCCGTGGAAATCTTCATGTGTACCCTCCGGTAGTTAAACATGGCACTGGATAATCTTCCTATAGTTGATTTTCCAATGAAAACCTCCATTTCTAGGGGATTTCCAAGTGTTGCCTGCCGGTTGACCCACTAAATCTCGTTTCATTCATCCACAATGATCCCGGGATCCATTGGAATGGCCCTTCAAATGGGGTACCCACCGGTATAAAACTTGGTTTGTTCATATTACGGTAAGGGAGTAAGTACAATTTCTCATTTCAGGATGCTGGAAAACCATATCGCCGCATTTTTCATGGTCAACCCCCAAGGGTGTCAGGGATGAATCAATGACTCTGGGCCACCAAACCCACTTCTTCATAGAGCTGTTCCTGGTTTGTCTCTTGACCTAGGTACGACCAAGGACAGGACATGGGGAGATGCCACAGGGTTTTCGCCGACATCTCACGTTCCGACTTGGCTGTTGCACGCTATGCTATAGGCTATAGCCCATTAAAAAAACAATGATTTGCCTAAAATGCTGATGGCGTCTATATCTATGTTGAATTATCAGATGGTACATGTAGGGATATATGTAATATATATATATATAGACATCACCTCCAGAAGGCTTTTCGCAACACCTGGTTCACCTTAATTCAGATCGGTCATCCCATGGATTTTGTAAGGTTGGGAGGAAAACACATCGATCCCAAAAACTCAGATGATTTATCCCATGTAAATCATCATCAGCAAGTCAGAAGGATGTAATCACCCCCAAAACCGACCCATATGTTAACCATGGGTACAACATGTGGGGGAAATCGGCGATCTACAAAAGATCCTTTCTTTGGGCTTATCACTCTTAGATGTCGCTTAAAACTGTCATTTGCGGGATACCCGGGACCCATGTTCAGACAAACCCATCTATAATCTATATATAATTATAAATGATTATATATATATATATACATAAACATCCCGGCGGACAGGGAACCGTGCTCATACAAACAACGTTTTTCTAAAAAAACACATTTTCCCCACAGCGAAACATACATTTCTGCAAGCCGAATTGTGCCAAATTCTCGCGCGAGAAATTGGCAAAATTTGCATTTCGTGTGGGTTTTGGATTCATTTCATTGGAGCATGTTGACAAGCCTTTTTCTTTATTTCTTCTCAGAGCAAGAAGAAGCACAAGGAACTTTAACATGCCCCCCCCAACCTCACCCCTTCATGACATCCGACACGCGCAATAGCAACCCATGTGTCGACCTTCCAGCACTGCGAACCATTTCGACAATGTATACAAAGATGCAACACTACCAGACATCTGTGCAGCGTAGCAACATGTAGCGGAAGAAGTACAAGGAAGGTTATAACATGCCCCCCCCAACCCCACCCCTTCATGACATCCGACACGCGCAATAGCAACCCATGTGTCGACCTTCCAGCACTGCGAACCATTTCGACAATGTATACAAAGATGCAACACTACCAGACATCTGTGCAGCGTAGCAACATGTAGCGGAAGAAGTACAAGGAAGGTTAACATGCCCCCGCCAACCCCACCCCTTCATGACATCCGACACGCGCAATAGCAACCCATGTGTCGACCTTCCAGCACTGCGAACCATTTCGACAATGTATACAAAGATGCAACACTACCAGACATCTGTGCAGCGTAGCAACATGTAGCGGAAGAAGTACAAGGAAGGTTAACATGCCCCCCCCACCCCACCCCTTCGTGACCTCCGAACACGCTCTAGCAAACACGTGCTTTTCACGAGCACGGTTTTCGGTCCGCTGGCAAAAACATCATCAATCGTGTTTTTTTGGCACTGGTGAAACATCACAACATGTTTTTCCACGACTGAGATCAAGACCAAAGGCCCAATCGAGACGAAAACAATGTCTGGCGCCGGATCGCCGGCCGGAACGCTGTGGCTGATTTTTCCGTGGGGGGATGGTCATTCCCAAAAAAAAAGCCGTTGGCAGACCACTAAATGACCCATTGTTATGTAGCAATAGACCCAGATAGTAGACATTTATATTCATTTATATCCACTATTTTAATGTCTGGTAATAGACCAGAATAGACCCATATATTAAATGTCATCTTCGATGGAGCACTTCTGAAACACATGTCCCAAAACCATCCAAGGTGGTGGTAGAAATGGCTGCTGATTGGCCAAAACATGGCGGCCGCACAAATGATCTGCAGACTCAATCACCTGAAGCATGGCTTTGCTGAATATTGGCGAAAACCAGCCGAAACGTATGCGTGTCATGCGATGCGTATGTAGGCTTGCACGGATGGACACGGATGGACGGATGGATGTATGGATGTATGTAGACAAATATACATCACATTTCATCACATAGGTCCATGACATCGCATTTAATTCCTTTGCCTTGGCATTGTAATGCACACTGTTGCATTGAAATCCTATGACATTACACTACAGCACATTGCGTCACACAACCTCACATCACTACCTCAGGATACATTGCATTACATTGCATTAAATGCATGACATACAAAACACTACCTTTGCCCTACCCTACCCTAACAACCCTACACCACAACACTACCAACTCACTATAGTATATTATCCTACACTAATCCATACCATACTAAACAAAGCAAGACAAGACAATAGAATATGATACAGTACATACATACCGTTACATACCTATATATGTACAATATAAAATGCTTGCCTACCTGCACGCCTGTGCAAACCTACACACAAACACAGAATCATAAAAAGTACATACAAACAAACACCTCCATACATGCCAACAAGCGAGCATCATTACATGGCTGCATCTATTCACACATCAACATGTGGACATACACACATATAACATTCCTGTAGAAAAAAAACACAGAAAACAATATACAATATAGATCGATAAATGGATTGATGGAAAGGTAGAACGACAGATAGAAAGATAGATGGGTTGATAGATAGATGGATTGCTGGATGGGTCAGCATATAGATGGATTGATGGATGGGTAGATAGATAGACTAATTGAGATTTGGATTTAGCTTAGGACTAGAATAGATAGACAGATAAGTAGACATATAGATAGATACATAGATCGGAGGACATTATACCCTCTGGTAAACTAACATAACTATGGAAAATCACAATTTTTAATTGGCAAATCCACTATAAACGGGCCATTTTCAATAGCTATGTTAGTTTAGCAGAGGGTATTAACTTGCATTGTGATTAAATTAGACAGATAGATCATCCAGGCAATTGAGACGGCAACAGGGACCTCAACTTTCCTGGGGAATTATGCTGTCTCACGGTGAGATAAGATGTCATGTCTCTGTACAAAGTGATGCTCTCTACACATTATATCAGATAATAATATATAATACAGTACAGGCTATAGTCCATCTGTCTATTTCTATGTGTATCACGATATATAACTATATGTTATGCACATGTGCACGTGTGAAACACACATAGACACATAGACACCCAGACTGACAACATCTTCCGGTCCCCGTCCCTGAGTGAAGCAACCCCTTCTTCCACCACGAAAGCTGCAGAGGGCTCCTGTCACGCGGATGAAATAGATTGAAATAGCCTACTTCGGGATTCATGGCCGATGAAAATATATGAGAATAAATTGCGAAATTTGGCATGATTTCACCATACACGGGGATTGATTTCATGGGGATTTTGGGAGGACTACCGTGGGGTGCATATTCTTTTTGGCCTGGTAGTTTTTTGCCGAAATCTGCGAAAGTCCATGGGGATCACCGTGGAGTAGCAAGGTTTGCAGCCTAAAATGCTGATGAACACAATTTTACTGCTGGTTCCAGCACCTATTTTTGGAGATTCCAATCCCAGTTCTGCTGGTTAACCCTACCATTTCTGTTTCTTTGTATGTAGTTCACTTTGATTCCGCTTCAACACTCAATTTCTGCGGGGGTTGACGTCCAATTATTCGCGGGCTACGCAGACATTGTTCAGAGAAATCCAAACTAGCTTATCAGATAGCCTGTGAACAACCTGTGTGGAAACTGACAAGTGTATTTTCTCACCGAAATGCGCGTTTCTTGAAAATTGGGGGTCTCCAAAACCATTGGTTTCCCTATTAAGCATGACCCATTTTAGATCGTAACTTGGGGCTCTCCATAGGAAATCCCCGAGTTGTTTTGGATCAAAATAAAGAAATCATATTTGGGATGCAACTCGTTACGTTCCAAAAGGGTTGCTACTATGGTAGGAAATCTTACTTCAATCAACATTTCACATGTTTAGAACATTTATTTCCAATCATTCTTACATTCACCAGGTGGAAGTTTCCTAAAATAGGGGCAGCCCAAATCATGAAAGTCATTAGACCATGACTTAGTATTGAAACAACAATGGTGACTCGGTGATCCTCCATTTCAAGAAACCACCATATAACCATAGTTGTAGGAGTTATGTCCCATCTTAATAGCGTTAAACAGCAACTATGACTATAATTGACTATACAGTTATACCCCTACAGTACTTGGTGGCCCATCTCACTTAGTAAGTAGGATAAGTGGATTAACCCAACTAAGCGACTTGGTAAGTGGGATATAACATGATATAACGCCACCATGTAGATTTCCCTTCCACCTACGCGAAGCTTCCATTTTGGCTCCTGACGCTCCTCTGGTGTGACAGGGGGGCGAAAGCGCGCGACCACGCGCACGGGGCAGACCTGTCAGGCATCGCAGGCAGACGGCGCCTGAGGGTCTCAGAAATGGGGAGATGATGGGGATATCATGGGGACAATGGTATATCTGCGTAAATTACAATATTTCACTAACCTGAATTAAGGCCATTTGGGGATGATTTCCCTTATTAACTATGATTCCAGTGAGGTCACAGTGAGGTCGTTATAATTTACCCAGATGGTATGTAACCAACAATATTGTGAAATGCCTTCAGCCTACTTCTAAAGAATTTTAAACGAATAAAAACAGCGACAACTAATCCAAAAAAAAGCAAAACCCAATCCAAACCCCAATTAGAAAAAAACAAAACAAAAGCAAACTCCAATCCAAACCTCAATTAGAAAAAAGCAAAAAAAAACAAAACCAAAAGCAAAAAAAAAACAAACCTGAACATTCCTTCGATCAATTATTTTTGGTAGTTTTGGAGTATGACCTAAAATGACCCAGTTTTCAGAATCTCGTCTAATTTTACTAGTTTGCCTGGTTTTGCTTCCTAGTGGCCACACTATCACCACAAGTGACATTTTGAATATGACTGACTGAACATGGCTTGCATCCTGGCTGCGTCCCAGGGACATACCAGGCCATTCTCATATCCCGAGCACCAACGCATATAAATTGCACATAACTGCGCCCAAAATTACCTGCAAAACGCCCGCAAAAATCCGCAAAACGCCCGCAAAAACCCGCAAACGCCCGCAAATCCAAGAATCTGGTAAATTTGTATAATTTTGGGAGCGCGCAATTAAACAGAAACCAACTTGGATGTGCAGATTGAAAGCAAAATACTGGTGAGAAGACTGGGAGGAGGGCCATGCCGATGGGAAACACAGCCATGACATACCACGCCTAACTTTTTGGGGAAACGCTCGATACGACCGTAAATTTGATGAAACGCCTGATTGTGCAAAACGACTGATATTTTTTAGGAGTTGGAAGGCCCAGGAACTATTTGTTTTCACCTTTTTTTCGCTTTTTTTTGCTTTGTTTTTGTTTTTTTTTGCTTTGTTTTTGTTTTTTTTTCCGCCTTTGTTTTCGCATTTTTTTTCGTTTTTTTTCTTTCTCAGGTGACCTCTTCGAAAATGTAAGAAACTCGTGGAAAAAAGCGAAAAAAATGCGAAAAAAAAGCGAAAAAAAAAACGGAAAAAAAGCGAAAAAAAAACAACGAAAAAAAAAACGAAAAAAAAACGAAAACAACGCGAAAAAAAACGAAAACCAGTGAACACAAATAGTTTGCTTTTTTTTTGCATTTTTTTTTTGCTTTTTTCTAATTGAGGTTTGGATTGGAGTTTGCTTTTTTTTTGCATTTTTTTTGCTTTTTCCTAATTGAGGTTTGGATTGGGTTTTGCTTTTTTTTTTTGGATTGGTTTTCGCTTTTTTTAGTTCAATTTATTTTTCTATCGTTTTATAGAAGTTGCCTGTAAGCCGTGTCACAACAACAATACATGAGAAGGGACCAAGGGCCTAACGGTCACAAACGCTGTCATGATGCAAAAGTTAGAGCGAAAGATGTAGTTGACCATGTAGATCGCTGTTTTTCGCTTTGCGGATTGAACCACAGAAAATGATCTTGTGGTTTTTAAGCAAACATAAACTGGTTGGTGGTATACCTACCCCTCTGAAAAATATGAAAGTCAGTTGGGGTCATTATTCCCAATATATGGAAAGTCATAAAATTCATGTTCCAAACCACCAATCAGTAAATCACCCATTTTCAGGGACATCCGGTGAGATATGAGGTATATAAACCCATGGGACGATATCATCACCATGGTCACGACCTAGTTGGTGCCCTCAAGTAAAGCTGATTGTTACACCCAGGTCCGCTTTGAACGTCGCCGCCGCTGACGCCCGTGGCTGATGCAATCCCCATTTTAAGTTGCTGTTCCGACCGGGAAACAAACCGCCCGCACTGAACGGGGTGCAACAAATCGTCAGCTACTCATGTCTGCAGGAAAATCCTGGTATATAAATCCAGGTATATAAATCCAGGTATGTATAATATATATATATATATTAATTATAATTCCAGGCATAGTTATCCAAATTCTTGATGAATTCCACCTGCTTTGCAAGCTGATCACCTGATCAACGCCCCATTTCCAGGATGGTACCTCTGTCATCCCAACATTGTCCGGGGCCTTAGAAAGGCCCGCTTTTTGTCGCCATGCTATGGGGGCATGGTGACCGGTTGTTCAAAGGATTGAGTGGAAAAAACAAAAGGAAACCCCACGGGGTTTTACTCCCATCTTTTTTAGGCTTTCCGGTAGATTTGTTGATGTTTGCTGAAATATTCCGGAAAGGTGGTGTCTGCCACAAAGTGGGGCCATGATAGGCAAGTTACACAATGACTACAGTATGTAACCCAAATGTTTGTTGCAGTAAAAGGGAGGGTGTAAGACCGCAAGACCCTGCTGAAATTCTTCCGCCCATTCAAAAACAGGTGAATAGAAAACAAACAAGTACCTTGGTTGAAACAGCACATATCAACAAACAACAAAACACATCAAATGATTACCCTCTGGTAATTTAACATAGCTATCAAATGTGGCCCATATATATATATATATAGTTGATTTACTCATTAAAGATGGTGTAGTTATGTAAAGGTTTACCAGGCCGGGTATATAGATTCCCCGATCCTCAGTTCTGATGCAAAGCTCTGGGATCTCGTGCCATCGCTTCAGCTGTCAACCACACCTGGCGGAGTGTCTGGATTCCGACCACTGTCATTTTTTTTTGGGATAAATCTACGGTTGCAGCCGCAGCCATGGATGTTTCCATGAACTATGGGGCTTTCCAGTTCAACATTTCCATTCCAGGAACCTGGAGGTGAAGTGACCCATGAGAGGTCGCCCTTTGTGGTGGCTTCAACTTCTTTGACCTGTTTTATCCTATCCAAACAGCATACTTGCCAGTCGGACTTTTATCATCAGGGGAGTACTGCTATCTAGCAGGTGCTGCCGTTTCATTTCCTGCAGTTCAACACATTTAAAACTCCCCTGCAAACTTGGGGGCATTCACACCTTCACGGCACTTTCCCCCAGTTTTCAGCTCTGCTGGACCTTCAATGTCTGGCCCAGACTCTACGCTACTGAATCAAAGACTTTCAGGAAACGCGAGCTGTCTGACTGACTACATCTCTTCAACTGACGCTTATCCTCAGATACTGATACTACACATTCCGCAAGGAATGGAAGACTAAAAATGCCATGGTAAACCCAGCAGGCTTCTGGAGATTTCTACCATGAGCTTACCAATTTAGGTCATGTGTGACCAATCACCTCCAAGGACAAGCGAATCATCACCCAATGAATCATTGGGGGTAACTGGGCGAATGGTTCCCCACAACAATTTGGATGGCATCCCAAAAAGACCAACTGCTTCATAGCAACCTGCGGCTTTTTGGGAATCGTTTCTTCCGCAAAATTTACCACCATTCCAGGGTTCGGTCACGACATGAGGTCGTGATTTTGTTTATCCATATATATATATAAACGTGATTGTATACACTCTCTGGTGCTTATTGAAAAACACTATATATACCCAGAACTATGTCAACGAGCGATTTCACGACCTCTTGGTGACGAAAACAATCCTCACCTCGTGGCGTGGCAAGCAAGTGAGATATCTTTGCCTATTGCATCCGATGCTGTTTTTTGTGTTTCAGAAGGATGATGGTCTTGATGCTGACAATGGTGGTGATGATGACGATGATGTTGATGCTTTCTGACCAGTTTCATTTCAATATATGTCCTTTGATTCTTTGATGCTAGCTATTTCTTCGGCCGGACATAGTCGTCCACACGTAACCGCCACCTTTCCATGGCTTGTTGGAGCCATTCTTTTCCGGCTGAGTCTTCTGATCCTTGAGCCGCAGTTTTTCGCAGCGTGCTGGCGTGCGTGCCTTCACACCTTGATTTCATTGGGATATATAGGATGAGTACCCACATTTTGGATGAACAATACCTCAAAATGCGCTTTTTATCATGCAATATCTTTGGATCACAAGGATTTTTTCATATTGAGTCATACTTCGATTTCTTGAAGTGGCTCAACCATACCATCTTACAGCATCCAACCAGGCGCAACTGGGAATTTCTATGGGGAACATCATCATTTTTAATAGGTAAATCATCATAAACCATCTATAAATGGCTTATTTTCCATGGCTATGTTGAAAAACCAGAGTGTATAGGTAAAAACCAAAAAACACATACACACAAAATTGGATTGATACACATGCCAACTTGACGACCATTCTATTCGTTCTTGGGATGTCCCGGCCTTTACAGTAAAACACCTATTCCCATAGAACCAGTATATAGACGATTGCAAAGTAAGGATCGCCAACGGTATACGGCGCCTGTAATTCAGTTGTGGGACATCCGCCAATCCAAAACGCCAGGGGGGGAATGGTTTTTTCACTGATTAGTAAAGCCAAAGAAAACCTGGATATATTAAATTATAATGAGTTATAACTGAAAACCTGGGTATGTATGTATATATATATATACATATATATATATATATTGAGTTATAACTTATAACCTACAAATACTAACCACTTAAAGGCTCCCTTTCACCATGGCCCTGAAACGTACATGGTACTACATGCTACGACGTGGTTTCACTGCGGCGCTTTTCTGGCTCAGTCTGCCGCACTGCTGCGCCACGTTGCACGCACCTGGCCCCTTTAAGGGGTGATGCCGTCAAAGGAGCCGACCTGGCGTAACGTCCGGGACGATACCTCGAGGATCATCCCATTGTTTCAGTACCGTCGTAGCAGAAAAGCCTGGGGAAAACGTCAGTTCCTTGTAGTGGATTACCCATTATAATTCCAACTTATAGTGGTTATTACCCCATAAAACAAATCCCATTTTAGTGGATTAAACCCCAACTAAAGATATATAACAGCCCATTTTTTAGCACTTACAAAGAGCTGTGATCACTTGGATGACCGCGGACTCCATAAACGCGGAGTGCGCATGTGTCCACGTTGTTTTTAAACGAGACATGTGGCGCGTGCCACTCCATTCAGAAAAACACATCAAAACAGGAAAGACAATTTTGAACTCACTGCTTCATACTATATATACTGTATCATTGTATATATATATATACTTATAAGATAGTATCAGTATTTATCAGTTATATCCACTGATAGAATCTTATGTCACCAGGTGCCATGTAAAAAAAAAAAACACGCCGCGCATTCCGAATGCTGAGGCGTCCACTTATGGAGCCAGCAGAAGATCTGGGACTCGTGAGCTGGAAATAGCAATCAGGCACCATCAGCAGGTGTTGCTCCTCAGGGTGCCCCGGTTTAATCCCTTGTTGTGACAATTGAATGGGGGATATATGATGTAGAACTATATGATATGAGTTTATTATAGTTATATATATATATATACCCTTATCATGGGTATATCTACATATATATATATATATATCATGATAACTTTCATTGTTCCTCCTTACCAGGATGGTACTTATCCTACAGATCATGGTAATAATAGGTCCCAATGGATCGATCAAGATCCCAAGTTTTGCGCTGTGGATTTCTTGGCTAAAGTGGTACCCGGCCTGGTAAACGTTTACAGAACGAACTGGAAAGATCCACCATTTTATAGCTGGGTAAATCCACTATAAATAGCCATTTTCAATAGCTATGTTAAATTACCAGAGGGTATCTATAGAACACTTGTGACTAGGAAGGGCCCAAAAGTGGAATACGGCAGCCGACAAAAATCCTTGAGTCGCGCCCTTGGAACAAACAACTCCGCAAATCGTAGCTGGATGGTCAATCCGTAAAGCCTTTACCAGCTATTTTCATCTATTTTCAAGGTTACAAATGGAATTGTCATGCCAGAAATGGGGTTGTTTCCCTGACTTATAACTGGTACTTCGGGCCATAACTGCAAACCATTAACAAAAAGTGGCGTTGGATGCGTTTCCAACAAACTATGGCCTTCACCATCACAAGCAGGTCCTTTTGCCGATGTGACCTTCTGAAGACATTAAGATCACCTGTTCCCACTTCCAGCCGTGCTCTCAGATTTTCTAGGTATATATAATTATATACATATATATATAATTATATATACTTATATATAGTAGATTGACAGATTGGCAAGTGACAGACCTACATTCAATTTGTATCCCAATTTTATCACCCATTCATGGATACGCCCATCTAGATTTATTTTAGAACTAGGGACAGTATTTGATAATACTCTTCTTGTTTTAACCATCTTGAAAATATGAAAATCAATGGGCAGGATTATCCCATATATTGTGGAAAATAAAACTCATGTTTGAAACCACCAACCAGTTTTTGTCAGTATAAGTACTGATAAGTAGTGATTATAGTCTAAGCCAACACAGGGCCAACACATATCACTAATTTCAAAGCAGGAATCCTCAGCCTCTTTCTCATCATCTTCCGCGTCATCGCTGCTGTCCTGCCGGGGCCGGAAGGGGGACCTTAAGGACCTTGTCCGGGCCACCGTTCTCCTTTTGGGGCCACCATTCGCTAAGGGCTGAAATTCCTAAACTGGAAATCGACAATCTGCTGTGTATATATACTAAAACGGTTATACTAAAATTATGATCATATTATATAGATTTTATAGACACCATATTATATGACTATATATCATAATATTATAGTTATATAACATAGTTATATATAATGAAATAATATAGTACTAATATAGTAATACTATGTTTTACCTGACCCCTGGTAAAAGCAGTACTGTATCTTCTTAATTAGGTACCACTATTAATGGGATATATTATCCAATTATCTATCCCACAGTTTATCTTATTTGTAATATCTATCCCATTAATTAGCATTAATCCATTATTCATATAGAGGTCTACGAGTGGTGTCGCTACTTCTTCCCACTTCTTCTCCCACTGGGCGCCCGGTACGGAAACGGTTTGACTTCCATCGCTGGCCTTGCTGGGAAAAATACAGCAGCACCCCAGGAGGTCGGGTTGGCGCAGATGATTACAATGTGTAACACAGTATATATATAATGATAATATAATAATATTATGATAATCTATATCAATAATCTAATCATTTAAATTAGATAATCATAATATCAATTAAATTAACCTACATAGACCAACATAGACCAAAGTACCATATATATATAGTATAAATCATGAATATAACTAGATAAACATAAATGGTTGACAATGATATGTATATATATATATAAATATGAGGATCTATATTAGATATTATGTATAGATAATCATAACATCAATAATCTAATGATTTATATTAGATAATCCCAATATATCGAAATATGAATTATCTAATGGATAATGTAGATGATTTGGGGTTTCTTAATAAATGGGGTACCCCAATAGCTGTATGGTTTATAAGGGGAAATCCGATCTATAAATGGATGATTTGGGGATATCCCAATTTAAGGAACCCCCAAATATTTCACCACAGTTCCAGGTGGTATATCGAAAAACTTGGGAATAGTTCATGGGACTATTTCATGGGACTATTAATTTGAAAAAAATGGGATAAAACGAACCATCCGGTGGAAATTTGAATTCATGTTCATGGGATGCTCATATTGGGATCATCGGGAAACAAAGCATCCGGTGTCATCTTCGAGGTGGCGGGCCGGGCAAATCCTGAAATCCATCCCTGGAAACAAAACAAAGCTGCTTGGTGGTTTTTCGCCTAGCCCTCTGAAAAATCTGAAAGGACCAGTTGGGATGATGACATTCCATTGCCAATCTATGATAATATATGGACAGTCATAAAATTCCATGGTTCCAAAGCACCAATCAGAAAGGGTAAAAAAACCCAGCAACAACAAAAGCATACAACAGCAACTCCGGTATTTGAAACCACCAAGTAGTAAGGATGACATACAACTCGGGGTGCTTCCAAATGAAAGTCCGATACGACCGAATCCCACGGTATGCAAACAACACACTGCACCACAGGGGGGAAGGAGGTGTTACACTATGAGCTGGAACATTCTAGAACGCATATTCAAATCCAAAATAGAACGTTAAGAGCATGACAACATAAGCGTATAGATCCCTTGTCAACCCATTGCAAAACTCTGTATTCATCTCCTTAAGTCCCTATTGTGGTTGCGTATACATCCCCATGTTTGATGGTCAAACCCCACTTCCCAGTACACACTAATACACATCCAATTTTTGTTGGCTAAAGTTAAAGCCCCATTCCTAACATCTTTTGGATATATGCCACAATTTTTCCAATTTTTGAAAATAGGCTAGCACCAAATTCATTGGTTGATCATCGTCTTTCCCTTTTAAACTTGCAGTAAAGTTGGGGCCACCATTTTTGGACCCATCTCTTGGCTTGGGGCTCCAGCCAAACTTTCTTCGTGACCGGTAGCTTCTTCCGATCAACCCTTAGTTTGTATCATTTTTTAAAATGCCATGTTACTGCCTTAGATCTACCATTTGTTTGTTAAGCAGTGAGGTATCCTTGAAGCATCCCCTAAGTATCCTTTAAATATCCCTCGCGTCTCCCAATAACTAGATCCAGATTATACCCTCCTCCAATTAAACTCACACGGATGCGGACAACCCAACTTTCAAGATTATTTTCCTAGGGAAAGCGGAAAGCATGAGGTTTTCCACATCTATGTTGGATTACCCTGGGGTCCCAGCCCCTTCTGCTCCCGATGCCTCTCCCACCTTGAGCGCGCACCTTGCGTTGCGCCTGCTGTGCCATCAAGGCCTGCGTCACGCCGAAGAGGCCTGGAGAATTTCGCAAAATGTGCGGGGTTCAACCGGATTTAGGAGAGGTCATGTTCCGCCCTGACTAGTGTGTACCCCCAAACAAAACTGTGCCCCAGACAAAATACGATCCAACATGTCAGTAAGGAATTTAATGGGCGACAATTGAAATCTAATTTAAACTTGTTTTTTGCCGATGAACTAGTGAAATTTGTAGTACTTGTAGTATCTTCTAGTAGTTGTCGTACTTGTAGTACTTGTAATACTTGTAGTGAATGGGTTCAGCATGTTGATTGAGTTACCTTTTCCACCTCAAGATGTTTTGTTTGTTTATTAAGGGTGTAATAAGAGAAAGAGAGACACATATAAAAGAAAGAGAGAAAGAACAAGAGAGCGAGCGAGAGAGAGAGAGAGAGGAAGAGGAATACGAATAGGAAGAGGAAGAGGCAGAGGAAGAGGAAGAGAAAGAGGAAGAGAGAGGAAGAGAGAGGAAGAGAGAGAGAGAGAGAGAGAGCAAGAGAAAAGGAAAGAGAAAGAAACAGATAATGATATAGAGAAAGAGAAAGAGAAAGAACAGGTTGCTTTTGTAAAAGGCTTTTCTTTCTTCTCTTGGCTCCCGGATCACCTCCGGAAAAGTTTGCTGTAATTCCGAACCTAGGCAACAAACCTACTAAAGTGAACTGGACCCTCTCATGGTCCAGTGCCTTGGAAATTTGTGGAAAAACTGCTCTTTAATAAGGGTTTAATAAGCGATCTGATTCTTTTGGGAAAGTCTTGGGCTTTGAAGTTGGCAAGAACACATGTAAATAATTTGTTCACACATACGTTTTTTGGCAAAAAAACTGGTCAGCGAAAAATTCTTGCCACAGTAGTGAATTTTCCAAACATTACATTTGTTTTAGATTTTATACTAATTTGAACATTTTGTGGCCACACAAGAGCGAACCTAGCTACCAGGACCCAACAGTCAGTTGGTAATACAATATCATATAATATCTATCTATCATTATCCATCTATATAGCATATAATATGTATATATATATATAACCATAAAATCGCATAAACAGTTGGGACTTCACCACTGAAGACTTTCCGAAATGGGAGTTGATGAGATTCAACCAATACAGAAAGCCCTTCCTGGTGGTGAGGATATGGAGATGTTCATACCAACAGCCTTCATACATACCTACAATGTGGCGTCCCCTAGTTATAAGTTGGTTTATAACCTCGTCCAACTGTAGACATATCATGATATATCATGGTAAACCTAGTTTTAAACCAACTTGGCTAACGTTCGGGTGCCCCGACTAAGGTAATACCTACAAATTGCCGACCAACTCCGACAAGAGTTCTAGTTCTCCTGCTTGAGAGCCGTCCCAGTTCGTGGCAGTGCATTTCCGCATTCGGAAAGTCCCATGGAATTATTCCAGATTGTTCACTAAATAGATTTAAATTACCCTCTGGTAAACTAACGTAACTATGGAAAATCACCATTCTTAATGGGTAAATCCACTATGAATGACCATTTTCAATAGCTACCGATCTGATCATCATTCGGAACGTCTGTTTCACCAAGAAATCTCCATGCTTGAAATGACGTCGTCGCCTCCGTAGGGCTCACGGGACTCCACCTTGATTTACCACGGGGATCTACGACGGAAATGATCACCACGGTGGTTGTGTCCCCTTAAACATACCAGATATGATACCATGATTATCCCAGATATGATACCATGATTATCCCATGATTCATTAATTTCAAGTGGTAGCATTGATGATATATTTCCATGTATCTGTATACAATGCCTCTTTTTTTTCTCTCTCTCTCCCTCTCTCTCCTTCTCTTTGTCTCACTCTCTCCCTTTGTATATATCATATCCAGAAAAACCCGGTGACTCCTTTTTACCCCTGGGTTAATTGTGGAGTATCACCACTATGGCGGGTAAGATGAGCCATGTAACCTTCAGGAAATATGTGTATCTGTTCATTGGTATCATGTCTTTATTTTTAGCCGGAGACATCCTCCTTCTGCCCGAAAAAAAGTAGTTCCGCACTTCCTCACCATGTGGCCCGAAATCGCTGGGATCAAGTGCCTATTGGATGCAACATGCTCCAAAGAACCCAGTTCAGTCAATCTACAGAGTGAGCAATCAAGACAACCTCTTTGTTTCCCAGTGAATTGGTATGGGTCTGGTTTTGAATAACCCACCCAAGTGGTAGAAGTATAGCTTATCTTTAGGGTTACTGTATTTCCCATTCAAACCCTACAAGCACTTCGAGGGAATGCTAATCCCATTGATGGAAATTTCGAGATGCCCGAATGATTGGCCTCGCACTGTCGCAAAAACTCTACAACTAGAAATGAGGCATTTTGCCACATTTCTCCTTACGAGCTCTGATTCAAGGTGAGGTCGTTGTCAGGTAGTTTTTTTTCCAGCCCAGACTGCCATACGAATCGGTCCCATCATTGTAGATGCCACAATTTCTGTGCCACCGCCCAGGCACCTTATGATGGCTACGTAGCGGCTACAGCCATGAAAGTCCTATTTGGAGTTCCTTATATAAGGGTAAACCCAAACAGTAACACCATTTACCCAATCAACCACCATCTTCATTTGTATAAAAGAACCACACCCCGAAGAACGTCTTAAAAACAAAAAACAAGTTCTAAATTGGAAAAACCACCACTTTTTCAGGGGGATGATTCACTGAATCCAAACCAAGCGCTGGAGATGTTGGAACCCATCTCTGGTCTCGATGTGTACAATCCTACTACTTCCTACTAGCTTAATCGTTACCTCACAAAAAAAAAGGTCAATCAATCTTCCCTGTTCTTTCACAACATATTGAGTTGTACTAAGTCTTAGCCATCCAAGATTAGTATCCCATGAATATCCCATGCAATTTCTATTCCAGCAACATCTGCAACCCCTGTTTTCGGAGGCTTTTCGCCAGGTCGTCTGCCAGCCGCGGTCAGTCTGAGGTGCGAACGGTGAAGGTCTCTTGATAGGCAAAGCGTTTCTGGCGCCGAGTTTCAAAGCGATCTGCATGGTGGGATACAGTAATAGCCCAAAATACCTGTTGTGAGTCAGTAAATATATAAGCCCATTTATGGAATGATAAGCCCATAGAAATAACCATAAAAAATAACCGGTAAAGGGCTTTAACTGTAGCTACGCAGCCAAAAAAGAGATCTATTGCAACCATAAATTGTGCTATATCATTAGCATATCATGGAATCTAAGAAGCCCCCATCACTGGGAACCCCCAAAAAAGGTGAACATAGAGGCTTTATGGAGGAACAACTTGACCGACACCAATGGGACATACCCGACACGGCCCAAAATCAAATGAGGCTTGCTGGAAAATCATCCATTTAGTTCGATGATTTTCCCAGCGAACTAAACCTCCAACTATATATATATATACACTGGTTGGTGGTTTTAACCATCTTGGAAAATATTAGTCAATCATATATTGTGGAAAGTAAAACATGATTGAAACCACCAACCAGCTCCATATATATCGGATTTCCCATTGCTATGTTTGATTGCCAGAGAGATGCAGAGAGTATTTACCCTCTGGTAAACGTTTGCATAACTATGGAAAAACACAATTTTTAATGGGTAAATCACGTATATAAATTAAAAACATGGCAAATTTCAATACCCTCTGGTGAACTAACATAACTATGGAAAATCACCATGTTTCATGGGAAAATCCACTATAAATGGGCCATTTTCAATAGCTATTTTGACATAACCAGAGGCTACTTTCCATGGTTCTTCACCCACTCGGCTCTATGGCTCAGGACTCACCTTTTTTTCACGACAACTATACTTCCCGCAAACATACTGTGGATGGAAGAAATCCTGCACCACCTTGGATGGTTGAAACCCAAACAAAATAATGGGATGTTTACCACCTATCAACTGGTGCAGGATTTCGCAACCATCCACAGTAGGTCAACATATTATTCCCCTCAAATTCAACAAAGGTTGAATACAAATCTGATTATTATCTCAAGAAATTGATAGGTGCCTGCAATTGTCTGGTTGCAACCCCCCGACATCCTAGACCCATAATTAACCAGAACAAATGCCAAAAACCACCAACATTCTGGGGAAAATAACGAATTTGTATTTGCATGAGTGAATTGTTTGGGTCTGGGCATACACAGCATAGTATGGCGATATGTCGAGCCAAAACAAAAGTGGCACTTTTTTCACAAAGCTGGATGCTGGATGTTCCCTGCGGATGGACTCATGATCCAGGACACCCTGTGATATCCAGTTCATCCCAGCTATAATCCCAGTTAACTACCCAGTTGGCCAGTTATAAGGTGAGCTTAGCTTCATGGCCCATCGAAGCATTCAGCGGAATCAGCTCACAAACTCGTGGGCTGTACCAAGGAGCAGCGGCTCTTGCGTTCCTTGGGAGCTGTCAACAGAATCAGGGCCTACTCACCCTCCCCATCTCAGAAACCTTGGTTTAGTCTTGGATCCATTATTTTTTGGGGCCAATTTTTTGGGGCCCAGTTTAGAAGCTGGTCCGAAAAAATGCTTCGGCCTTCCAAGCTACCTACCAAGTGACCCAGAACTTGACCAAGTTCCGAACCGATTCCAACTGCAACATCTGGGTGGCTTCATATAGGGTAAGTCTGATGAACTCGATTTCGAGGAGAACTCTTCAAGGACATCCATAAATGATGCACAACGTCAGCCGAAAACAGGTATGATTGTTGGGTTATGTTCATCCAATTACTAGATATTATCATGATATATCGATATATCCACCATGAACCCCTCTTTTGTCTTGTTTAAAACCGACTTGCTTATGCAGGGGGGGGCCCACTTTGTGCCATCTGAAGAGGCAGGAAAACATTCAGGAAAGCCTGCTAATGTTATTACTGTACAACAAATACACAAGGTATGCTTGGTGAGCACCATTTCTGTCCATTCAATTTGATTCAACTCATTTCCAGACAATATGGGATAGAACTTAGAGGTAACCTCCTGTAAACAAAAAGATGTGGAGTTTACCCACCCATTTGAAGAGCATCTTCTGAACCTGACACCATGGGTATTCCACATCTGTATGTTTACCGTGGATGCTTCGATGAGGTCCAGACTTGCTATCCTCCTGTAGACTCACATTGTGAGGTAGAGAAGCCCACCATTTCTACAGATCATATTCCGAACGGAAAACCCATGGGTTTTCCACATCTTTTTGTATGTTTACCCCCGGATAAATTCATCTATCTATCTATATATATATATAATTAAAAAAAAATATATATATATAATTATATATATATAATTAAATATATATATATATAATTATATATATATATATATAATTATATATATATATATATGAAACCTCTGGTGAACATCTCCGTAGCCAAGAGTGTTCAGCCTCTGCGAACAACTCCGGCCACTGGTGGATGACTTTTGGACAACCGGGATTTCCCATTTCAACATGGTGCTTTCTGGAAATCCAAGAAACTTTGGAATATGTGCTCGTCGCCATCCAAACCACGACAAACACATCTAAGGATACGGCCCCGTGTCTATAATCTCTCGAGGTTGCTTTGGAAAACAGGAATTCCTCCATGCCCAAGATATTCATACATATTGTCCAACATATTTGGATCTATGGCTGATTTCATGGAGTATCATCATTTTCCCTTCTTAAAAGGCCTTATGTGTTTGTCTGGCAATGGGATAACCCAAACCCACCAATTTATCATCATTTGTTTGCACTTGGAAGGTACATCCCATTTTCATCCATTTTCAGAAACACCCATGTATCACGTGGAACAAATGGGGCCTCTACTTCCCACCTTTCTCCATTTCATATAGTTGGTGATATACTATAGTCATGAGATATCCCCATTCTGAATGGTTGTAGATCCCCTTGTTTTTCTATGATTAAACCAGGCTGACTTCGGAGCTATATTCCTTGTAGTCAAATCCATATGTTCTGCTAGTTGAATCTCCATTTTGGTTCAGCATACCCCATGAAGGTCAAATTTGTGGTGCTTAAACATGGTCAAACTAACTTTATTAATTGTCCACTTGTTAGTATGTTTTTTTTCATGGTAAACTTCACCATTCCGTAGCCAAAGCCATGACCGGAGGCGAGACACATGGAACATCATCCTCGCAGCCTCCACGCGAGCCTCCCTGGCGAGAAACGGGTGACCATGCGAAGTGGCCCCCAGTTGTCAAAAATGGACCATTCGAAATCAGGATTGACTAGGATTTAACAGGAATAAATGGGATTTACCATATGATTTAACAGGAATTAATGGGATTTGTTCAGATTTAACAGGAATTAATGGGATTTATTGAGATTTCACGGGAATTAATGGGACTTGCTGAAACTTACTGGGACTTGCTGGGATTTAATGGGATTCACTACGATTTAATGGGATTTGAGCCCCCAAACGCTATGTTTGTGGGTGTATAAACCCAGGTATACCCAGCATAAAACCAAGGCAACCTAGACATATATCAAATCAGCGAGGTGGGATGCCATGGCCAAGTAACATGGTATGAATGTGGCATGGTCATTTCATCATTTCTGATTGTTTTTGAACGGGTAAATCCCTACAAATGAAGCGAAAGACAACTTTGAACAGAACATCAAACATGTGTTCCACAACGCACATTTTTAAATTAGCAATCAGAAGTGCTGCTAAGAAAGAGAACGCGTGCTTGTAGCATTTGTAGCATTTGTATCGTTTATTTAAAATGCATTTGTTTGCATTTTTCAATTAATAATTAATAATCATCATTGTGCCAATTAAAATGGTATCAATTAGGGTCCACGACCCATTTTTAGATAAATCCATATATCATCGTACATGATATGATATTGTTGTTTATTTATCCCTGTTATATGCCATGCGATTTCCCCAAATCACATTTTTGGTGATATATCCCATTTTAATGCCTTTATAATCCAGGTAAGTGTTTCCCCAACGGATCCCCATAACTTTATAGTAACGCATAAATCATGGTAAATAATCATCGAAGGAAGTTTAGAAGTCAAACTTCCGACAATATGGGCAGATGGAAAAGCAGAGGTGGGAAGAGTCAGAGAAGAGAAGAGAAGAAGAAAGAAGATCAGAGAAGAGAAGGAATCAGAAGAAAGAAGATGCAGATGGGCGAAAAGGTAAAAGTCGCGAAACACTGTGTTTTTTCCAATGATTTGTGGCTCCGGAGGGTCGAAAAGTAGGCTCGCTAAAGCGGCGGGTGCGGAGCCATCTGGGCAAATGAGAGATGAACAATTGCACGCCGTTGTGGCGCAAAGCACGTTTCCAACAAAACACACCAATGTCGGAGAACTTTTGGAAGTTAAGATGTTAAAAAAGTGCACGCCCTTGTGGCGCGAAGCACATTTCCAACTCAAAATGTACAAAGCACAACATTCTCGGAGCACTTTTTGAAGTTAGGATGTGATTTTGTGTGGCGGGCGTGAGGGATTCTGCACCCTCCTAAAAGTGAGCAAAACGTGAGGGTTTTGTAGCACTTTCAAAAACGTTGGCAGGCGTGGGACATGTGAAGAGGATCTGCAAAGATGCATGTCGCGTGGCAGGTGCAGTACAGGAGACGTGTTCATCAGAGATGCTAATAGGTCAGGGTGGTGAGAGGGGTTGCATTTTGGAGTATCATATCTTCAGGTTTGCTGAGATGATTTTGCGTGACAATGAGCTGGCATCACTTTTTCGTGGCGGCCGCAGTACTTTAGACAGATGGAGTGGAAAAATTGTAAAACACAAGGGTACGAGGCAGTCAGCTCTGCACTCAACTTTCCTTTTTTGAAGGAAGTCTCGGAGAATTGCTTCGTTTTGGATGCTGCCAACTTCGAAAATTGAGGAAGTCTCGCAGAATTGTTTCGTTTCTGAAATTGTCAAGTTCAAAACTTGAGGAAGTCTCCCAGAATTCTGATGTTGTCAAGTTCAAAACTTGAGGAAGTCTCCCAGAATTCTGATGTTGTCAAGTTCAAAACTTGAGGAAGTCTCGCAGAATAGCTTCGTTTTCAAGCTTGCAGATAGACAACTACAACTAATGTTCACCTATGATTTATAAATAGGGGGGCCCCCCCTCTTTGCCCCTCAATAAACTTAAAGCCACCATCAAACTTGTTTGTATGTAAAGGTTTTCAATTACCACAATTTAAAACGATAATGTAAAATGCAATTTCCAAACAAAAAAAGGAAACCAACAATTGTTTTAGTATTGATTTAGTATTCATTTCATGGATTTAGTATTGATTTAGTATTGATTTCATGGATTTAGTATTGATTTAATATTCATTTCATGGATTTAGTATTGATTTAGTATTCATTTCATGGATTTAGTATTGATTTAGTATTGATTTAGTATTCATTTCTTGATCAGCGGGAGGGGGAAGCTCAGTAGCTTTATTCAGGGTCAAACTCTAATTGGTGCTAAGGCACCTCATGGGGGGTACCCTTGACGAGTTGATTTGGAGTTGATTTTGGATAAATTTGAATAAAGGTTTTGAATAGAAAGAGCATCCATCATTTTTGAAAATTTCCAGCTATCATTTTTGAATAAAGGGTTTGAATAGAAAGAGCAACATATAGAATAAGCCAAAAAGAATAGGGCCAAAAAAGTTTAGCTTTATTTAGGGGTCATTTATTATTTGTTTTGGGGCTCTGGTTAGCTTTACTTAGGGTGGGTTAAAAAATCGTAGGTCAACATTACATATTAACTTTCACGGGGGTAGGGCCCCACTTGCATATGCGTTTCAACGTGTTTCGCTGCACCCCCATGCCTGCAGTACATGCAAGACAGGAAAAACAAGGTTCACCACCATTTATAACCTTTGCGTTTGGATTATTCCTGTTGCATTTTGGCACGTTTTGAAGCCTCCAAGCTAGAGGCCTGACTACATGTGAGGGCAGTATGCCAAACCCAAGCAGAAGTTCGGCAATTTGTGAAATAATGTTCAGTTTTCCCCATCTCCAATTTCCCCAAATTCAAAAGAGAAGTTTGGCGAGTTTGGAGATAATCTCCAATTTCGCCAAACTCAATCAGGTTCGGGGTTTGAAGATAATCGATCTCCACTTTGGCCAATCAACTTCATCAAAAATTTGGCGGGTTTGGAGATAATCTCCAATTTCGCCCCCAAACTCTGTTTCAACAGTAGTTTGGCAACTTCGTAACTTCGGGGATAATTTCAACATCCACAACCTCCAATTTCCCCAAACCTACGGAGAAGTTTGGCGGGACATAATCTCCAATTTTGCCAAAGTCAAAAAAAATGTTCGGCAAGTTTGGAGATAATCTCCCATTTCGCCAAACTCCAATTTCGCCAAACTTGTGTCAGGTGATGGTGACAGTACACCAGGGAGATTTAGAGTTTTTCGGTGAGGAAAGGATTTCACAAATTGAGAAATGTTCCTGCAAGGAATCTTAGGGTCACTTGTGGTCACATGCTTGGAGGTCAATTTGGTAGATTTGGAATCTCAAAGTTGTTTCCAAATCATGTTTAAAAGTCGCCAGACTGCCCTTTGCACCTCAATTTTATGTTGACTCCAAACCTCCAACCAGGACGCGATACGACCAAAAAAAAAAACCTCGGCTGACAGGGCCTGCAAATGCACGGGGATTTGGTGCAATTTTGAAGGTAATGCTGCGGTTTTGGGATGAAGGTGAAACTTTCGAAACGCTTATTTAGACCATTCCCGCAACAACCGTGAAAGTTAATACAACTACAACTACAGCTACTACTACAACTACAAATACATCTACAAATACATCTACAAATATACTACGCTGCATTGCCCTACACTATTTACATTACACTACGCTGCTTACCCTACACTACGCTGATTACAGTGTACTACAGTACACTACAACTACAATGCCAACTACACTACATTACACAACACAGCACTACATACACTACACTAATTACAGTACACTACAAGGTCACTACAACTACAGCGACCGCTACAACTAAACAACCTTACACTACACTACACTACACTACACAACACTACACTATACTTCACTACAGTACACAACACTACACTACACAACACAACACAACACTACACTACACTACACTAATAACACCACACCACAACTACAACTGCAACTGCAACTACACTACACTAATTACATTACACTGCAACTACAACTCCACTACACAACAACTACAACTACAATTGCACTACACCATGCTACATCCAGCAGTTGTGAGTGAGGTGACCACTGCAACCATTGCAAACACTCCAAAAAACACAACTCCAGCCACCTTTCGGTCCATCAGTGGATTCGCTCTGCCATTCGTGATTCACCACAACCAACCTCTCCTATAGGCTTCCTATCTTTGAAACTTCCGCCACCGCCTTGTGCGGTACTACTGGTATATATAAATATATATATATATATATCCCATTATATCCATTCAGTCCATTCCTATATCCATGTATTTCATATACACTTTTGTATCCCCACATCCTCCATCGCAGCAAGAATCTTTTCTTCGTAGCCCAGGCACTGCAGAGTGAGCCATTTCACCAGGGCCACATAGAACCTCAAAATGCCACCAGTGGCGAAGTCAATGGGACAAACTTCCCCAGACATCCCTCAAACAATCACCAGTCTGGGAGGTCCTGTATTGCAATCACACAAATATATATATATATAATGACATTTTGGTTGGATCTATCTGAAAATGGGGAATAAGACCATGGCTTAAAACGCTAAAAATGGCAATTTGAGTGAGAAGATCCGCGAAAAAAATGCGGGTACACTATTATTTGAGATATTCTCAGACAAACCCATACAAGTCTAGAAATCTTATGTAACCTCCATAAGAAACCCCTCAAGATCATGGTTTCGGAGGTGCCAGGTGAAAGATGGCAGGTACAAGACCATCGATGACCCAATGACCCTTGAGCTGCCAATATGACCTAGAACTGCTGGCTATTCTCTGGTAATCCAACATGACAATGAACCACTTGTAGATGATTTTTCAGAATGTCAAACACCGGACTAATTGATGTAACTAGTTAGTGATGTATATATATATTATAATATTATATGTATATATATATATAATGAACCTGCTAAAACGGAACCCCAAACACTCCAGGAGTGAACAAACATCGGGAGTTCTCCATTATTCCATTGCCATGTCTGATTGTTGGAAGGTCACCGATAAGCTCCCCTTGTCCACTTAATGGTCATTGGGATTCCTCACCTAATGGTCATCGCAATGCATCTCTATCTCCGTTCCCCGGAGTTGGTTCATGTGGCTCAAGAAACTGCAAGACGTGCACCCCGCTTTGAAAGTGGATAAGGGGTGTATATAGGGGCATATATATATATATATCATCCACGTGTGATCAATCTATAACTGGCTATAATGTGATCAATATGTCCAGAGTTGTTGGTTAGTAATCCATAGCAGCTGTCAATTGCTCACTGCCAATCTGCAGCCAATTTGCTCGCTGAAACGTATTTCCGACTTGTCTGTTGTTGCCTCTAAACCTGACGAAAGCGGCAACCGTTTCGACGCAAAGGCCATAGGAATCTGCGAAGAAAAGAGGCTATCCATTGGTGCTTGGATGTGGTTGGGAAATTTGAAATGTTTTAAAAAATGGTTGGTGGTATATGTGTGCCTCTGAAACATATAAGTTAGTTGGGATGATGAAATTCCCAATCTATGGAAAGTCATAAAATTCCATGGTTCCAAACCACCAACCAGAAAATATGTCCATGCAAGGTGGTACCCCCCAGATACAAGTTGGCGTTCACCCAGGTCACCAACTGAGCTATGCGGGGCACACCCACGGCAGTGTTTTTGGTCAACATGGCTTCAGATGATCTTACACAAGTGGTGTATGACTGAAGGTAGCTACTGTAGGCTGTGAGCCACACAAAATCTCGTCACTGCTGAGATCTACACCCCAAATAGAAAGTGATTATATTGATCTATATTACAACCCAGATATAACCCATCAACAGGGAGTACAATGCCAGATATGATTATATGGAGGTTTCCTAAAATAGGGGTACCCCTAAATCATCAATTTTAATAGGATTTTCCATTATAAACCATCCATTTTGGGGTACAATATTTTTTGGAAACCTCCATATCTTACCGACAAACACCTTGCCTGGGCCCCGCGACCAGGACCTGGCCCTGGCCCTGGCACCGCACCTCCAGTCAAGGCCCGTCGCATCATCCGTGAGCGGGCTTTATTCCTGGGGGGACCACCAACATGGGGAAGCAGGAAGGAGTCAATCAATAAGGATTGTGAACATAAGCACTATAAGGAGGTTAAAGATTGTATAGTATCCAATTAGATGAACAATGATGAACATAGGAAATATTGAATTGACCTCTCATGACATTACATGTTTTGGGGGCAACAGCCAGGGCTAAGTCAAGGCACCGTGTCCGCACGGCCCTCATGTGTTGTTGCAAGAGCATGATCTGCGGCACGTGACCCCGCTGGCGTGTGGCTGGAAGAAACCATGGGTAATATCATATTCCATGAGACAAACAAAGGATATTTACCCTCTGGTAATTTAACATAGCTATTGAAAATGGCCATTTGTAGTTGATTTACCCATTCAAAATTGTGATTTTCCATGATTTTCCATAGCTATGTTAGTTTACTAGGCCGGGTATCATCCAAGCTGAAGATACACAAATTTCGCTGGCGAATCTCGCAGGTACCGGGACGGTTCAAGGTGAGCGGAGCAACAAACACACCATCGTTACAATATGCACAAGATATAACAATAGAACATATATATATATATAAATATAGTGTAATTCGAACAATAATTGAAGCTATCTTTATATATATATATACATATATATATATATATAAATAATATATATATAATGTATATATATATTAAACATATGATGTATTAATTTGTTTGGAGTCCCGTGGTTTTGATTCCTGGGGAAGTCCATAAACAGCGCTTCGCTTCCCAACAAAAAACGGCCAAAAAACACCACCGCTCCATCTCACACGGATCTGGTGGTTGCTGAAGATTGCTGAAGAACATCACTGGTTGGGGGTTTCCCATTAAAAATGCTGGTTTCATGGGATGGATATCACGAAATAAATGGTGATTCGATGGTGATTTACCCTCTGGTAATGACTAACATAGCTATTGAAAACGGCCACTTGTAGATATTTATCATGGATTTTCCTATTAAAAAATGGTGATTTTCCATCGTTATGTAGACGTTTACCAGAGGATGACTGGTTGCTGGTGAAATAACCATCTTGAAACATATGAGTTCGTCAATGGGAAGGATAACAACCCATATGCTATGGAAAATAAAGTTCATGTTTGAAACCACCAGATAATGTATTTGACTTCTAAATGAGATATCATGAGGTATCTTCAGGTTTGTTCAAGGAAGATTTTGGCATGTCCTGCGAAACTACACCATTTTGTTCTGTGTATCAAAACAAAGCAACAAAAAACAACAACACAGCAAATACTTCCTGTGCGGAATAGCAATGCTGACATGTCCCATTTCTGAGCATAAATTAATTGGATTTGCTTGACCCCAAAGTGAGGCAACGCTTCCAGTCCGGAGCAGACATGGGATGAATTTCAGCTCCCAACATGCCTCTTCGTCTGTCACTCCATCGTAAATTTCCTAGCCGCAGCTGACCAGTTCTGGGATGGGCTGGTAGCTTTTCAGGTCACTTTTTTTGAGGGACATTTCCTTGAGGAATTTGTACATATATATATATATTATAATTATATATATATTGCTTTTTCATTGCCAGTCTTAGATACCTTTCATTTTTGTTCAGAGCTGGATAGCACAGATTCCAATTTATTGATATTTATGCAAATTTATGGCAAACGATGAACGTATTAGGGTATACCTTTCCAAGATTTACCCAGTTCCGGGGGAAAAAAAACAACATTTCACGATGTTCCAAAGATCAACGTTGGCATTTCAGGGATTCGGATGACTCTTGTCTCCATTCTTTTATAGGCCACCTCCGGTACCTACCATAAGGCCTATTTTTAGGGCTATGTACGGGAATATACACCCAATTTCTATGGCGAACAAAATGGTGCTAACGTACCTCCATTTTAGGATCCTGGAATTCCCGTTGATTTTATCGAATCTTCGGAATCTGGTCTTGGCAACTAGTACGCCCAGGTCTACTAAGAAATGTCATGAAATTGCAATCCAATCCATGGCTTGTATTATCTTAAAGTAATCTAGCGGCGCCATCACCATTTCAGTGGACAGCTACATTATAAGCAGTTGTTGGTGGCATTAAACCACAAGTTGCATGACCGGGCAGGTATTAGAGACCCTGCATAAGACATGACCATGTTGATTTGGGTAGTATCTTTTAAATTTTGAAGATTGCAAACGCAAAAAAAAACCTTGAAACTACCCTTCACCAGCAGTGGCGCCCTCTAGTTATGTTTGCGGGTGAAAAAAACATCTAGCTCTATTCATTTCAACACTAGGTATGGACCATAAACCTAATAATTAGGCTAATTTCGCTAACAAACAATGGGGCACAGTTCATCGTTCGAACAAAGCAACTTACCTATCCTTTGAGGGCCCCTTCCCCGACTTCCCCTCGTTCCAAAAACCGTGAACATCCTGAACTGTATCGTCAAATTCCAAGAAAAATGCCCAATTTCTGATGGTGAAATGCCCATAAATCCCAAGACATCCCCAGAAAAGTCAGAGTTTTTGCATGGAAAAACCCGCCCAGACTTCCGGACCACATCGGACACCTGCACCAAGAGGGTGAAATCCTGCGATTGCACCTAGCCAAGTCGCGGTTTACTAAGTGGTTATATACTGCAGATGTTAGATGTAGTATGTTAGTTATAGTTGTTTTTGTTGTATGCTATAGTTATATCATGCTATATAGTATCCCTATCTTCTCCCCTAATATCCATGATGTAAGTATTAAATCATACTGTGAATGGTTGCGAACTCCTGCACCAGTTGGTAGATGGTTTATCCCATTATAATCCCATTATAATCCAATCATTTACAGTGTTGAATTTAGTTACCAATATTTACCAACTGGTGCAGGATTTCTTCATCCTATATCTGGGTATAAATTTTAAGTTATCCCTAACTATTCCCATCATTCCAGTGAGGACAGGACGTGATGTCGTTCTAATCTCTCCAGATATATGAGATGTAGGTTGTACGGTTGTACCATACAATCATGAGATGGGTACACTAGGTATGTGAAATGGTTTATGATTTAAAAACATCAAGTTCAAGGTCGGGGATATACACATCATGTGTTTGTGAATATTGGATGAGACACAATGGAATTTAGATAACTTAAATCCATAACTAATTAATGTTGTATTGGCAATGGGAGTGAGCCTGAGATTATTATAGATTAACGGGATATGGTCATACATTCGCTGGTGGGAATTATTTGCATGGATATATCAATCTCTAACCCATAGGATCCATGCATGCTATATATGGTAACATTTACCATCAGTATATCCCCAATGTTTGTATATATATATAATAGTAATATGTTCATATAATCCACCTTTAGCTGTGGCAGTCGGACTTCAGCATTTGTAGAACCCCAGCTGTGATATCATGGCGAACTGAGGACTGGGGAATCAACACTGAATTCTTCACAACATGTTTCGAGACAGGGGCTTGGTAACAACACTGATGACATGTTTATCAAGTAACGGCCATATAATTATATATGTTTAGGTTCAAGTGCATATATATATACATACATATATTTGTTCATATGATAGTATATAATATTATATATATATATCATAATTATAAATACTGGTTGGTGGTTTTGACCATCTTGAAAAATATGAAAGTCAATGGGAAGGATGACAACCCATATGCTATGGAAAAACAAATTCATGTTTGAAACCACCAGATCATGTATTTGACTTCTAAATGAGATATCATGAGGTATCTTCAGGTTTGTTCAAGGAAGATTTTGGCATGTCCTGCGAAACTACCACCTGGTTATTTAACATAGCCATGGAAAACCCTTATAAATGGAGGTATTAATGGGGAAATCATCTATAAATGGGCCATCTATACCATGGCTATGTTAAATAACCAGAGGGTACACCATTTTGTTCACCGGTGTGTGTTGGGCACCGCGCTGGCGGAATCTCCCTCTCCTGCCAGGTCCAGGGCTCCCCCACGCCGATGCGACCAGTCGGTGCGTGCGAGGAAAAGACTTCCCAAACCTGGCCGGTGGCAGGTTTGGAATCCTTGGCCGGTGGGTTTCTATACACTATCTATATTTAAATATCATATTGTATATATATATATATATATCATAGATGTATATATAATATACAGATGTATATATATATATATATATAATATACATACCATATATACATATATATATATACATACATACACATACGTGTATATATATATATGTAATACATATATGTATATTCATATATTCCATATACATAATACAATATACATATCTAGACATTTACCATGGTATATATATATAATGTTCCTTACATACCATATGACCAGTGTTCAAAACCCTGTGTGATCCCTGTTTACTGGTGGCTTCATGCCCGTTTGGATTCATATGCATGCAGACTCGGTGTTGGGTAAAGTTGATTCCAGTCGAAAATTAGCCTTTGCAAATGGGTTGATTAAAATCATTATACTATATATACTTACATTGCATACCCAGATGCTACATGTATGGGATATTTACCTACATTTGTCCTAAAAATCACCAAAACGTAGGTAAATATACTAGCACCATGGTTCGCATATTGGGTACTACTTACCTAGCATAACTGGTTGGTGGTTTGAACCCCTCTGAAAAATATGAGTTCGTCAATGGGTTCCGGATGACAACCCATATATGAAATGGAAAATAAAAAAATGTTCCAAAATGTTCCAAACCACCAACCAGAATATAGTTTATAGATGAGTTGCTGGAAAATCTTCCCAACTTTTATGAGAAAAATCATGAAAATAGGATTGCATCTATAGTTGTTAGTTCCACTCTGAAAAAACTTCGGAGGTCAAACGAGATCCGGTGCATTCAGATCCGGATCTGGCCGCGGGAAATTTCCCGCAGTCGCCTCCTCGACATCCAAGACGGACCAACCCGTCTGCCTTGGAGACCGCAGTGGGCGTTGCGAAAATGGATGTAACCCGTAATGACCAACACAAATAAGAGATTGTAGATTGTATGATATGTTTAAGAACATGTAAATATGTCATAGCATGTAACCAACACAAAGTGAATAATCACAATCAAAATTGGATATTCTTGGTGAAACAGATGGATTTCATCAACAAATATGATCATAAATGGCTGGATTAAATGATTGTCAATCCAGAGGAAACCATGGTTTTGAATTGTTCTTGCCAGAAAATATAAAGGTTTCTGAGGATTTTTCCCATCATACCAACTGACAACTATAACTACAGTCTGGGAACCCCACGCAACAGTTTTGGAACTTACAAGATAGTATACTTGATCTCTATATCCAACTTGTTTTCAAAAACAGAGACAATAACTAAACAATAGCCAATCTTAACCTACCATTCGCCAAGATTCAGGGAGATATGAGGATGAGGATGACAACAAATAGTCGTCATGTTTGGATGTTCATCTACTTGTTCGTAGTGGCTTTGAAGTTGATTTGACCCACGTCCATACATCTGTGGTTTGAAAGTAGCCACAAGTCAGAGTTGTAGTTTCAGTAGGTGTCAATTGGGACGAATCGGGCGCCCCATGTACGAGTTGTACAGGCCCACGTAATGGGTTTGGATAGTTTGATGGCACTATCACTAGTCAACCAGAAACAATGGGTACTGTGTATCGCCTGTGCAAATGAGGCTCAAAACCCAAAAAAATGGCGACGTACCAGATATGTTTCTGAGCTTAAAATTTCATACCCGTGCAACCTTGGGGGTTTTCGGATTGGAGTGTCCCAGAAAGTGCCAGAAAAAATATTCAGGGACAATCTGCAGCCGCAGCCAATTTGGAGATTTCCTGGAATGGGGGTACCCCCAAATCATCCATAAACATCTATTTTGGGGTACCCCCATTTATGGAACCACCTTGGTTTCAACCGCAGAGCTCGTTGAGTGGATGGGGATACCCAATGGCGACAGCAAGCAAACACCAATACTTCACAATACAGCCATCAAAAGATGTATATATAATATGCGTATATTATGTAGATATATATACATGTAAAGGAACATGCACAAAGAAAAACACCAACTAAACAAATCTAGCGTCAGCCCATTGGTGGCTCAAACTTGGAGACTCCTCTTGGGAATGGCCTGCTTGAGGCCTGCCTAATCAAATCCAGAGGGTCGTGCCCCGAATCAAGAGATTATATCCAGGTGGATGTTCTATAATAGATCTATTTATGATCTGTAATCAATTCTGCATATTGGATCCAATATTGTATGGATCTATTATCGATAGTGGATCTATAATGGATCTACTAATGATCTATAATATAATGGAACTATTATCTAAAATTGTTCTATTTATTATTCATACTGAAATCACTAATGGATCCATTCGTTTCAACCAAACGTTTTCAACAAGCGGATCTTTGATTTGATCAGCTGCTCATGTTATGGTGAGCGTTGGCGAGGCGAGTTTCAAGAGGCGAAGAATGGGCAGAATTCCTGCATAAACTTCCAAGTTAAACCATGTGATATGTGAAACTATTTTATGTCTTCAAAGTTCCAGATCTAAAAAAAAACACACCTCCACAAAAATGTCGGCGTGCAAGGCTAAGAATCCGCACTTGGCCAAATGCGCCAACCTCAGTGGTAATTCACTACTATACCCTGCAACCTTGGGACATCATGGGGCACGACTATCCCACAATATCGCCCTTTGGACCACCCAGGGAGGTCAAACTGATTGAAATCCAAGGGCTGCAACCTATCAACACGGAAAATTCTATCATTTCAACACTTTGACATGTTAGCTGTAGCATCCATGCTAGATCAAAAATCTGTTCAAAGATAAAATCCTTATCTGCCAGCATCTGAACTTCAATCATGTTTAATTCTCCAGCATCTCAAACTTTTTATCCTGTCTCCTAAAGCCACCCTCTGGCCAAAACTATCCTATCTTGAATCCGCGCCGCTTGCAAACACCTGTCCAGATGATCCGCTGGCATGTTGTTTCCAAGCAAACCAAAAGCCCGTCATCTTCTGATTGCCTGTACACACACCTGTTTGGGTTTAAAACTTTTTTGGTGGTAGTAAACCTACAGGATTAAATATTGCTACGGAGGATCTACAATTTACTGTGCCTCCCGCCACGGCTGATCAGGGATCATGGGAATCTTGATGACAATGAGGTTTGGTGTCATAGTACCCTCTCATAACTTAACATGGCCATGGACAATTAGCCGTTGCTAGATGATTCATCTACTAAACATGGCGATATTCAATGGCTTGTTCAGAGCCAATGTTGGTAAGCTGCCGTCCAAATTGATCCTGGTGAAAAATCATCAACCAACAGGGCTTCATCACGCAGCGGAATCGAAACCATACATTGCTGGCTATATTACATTATTATATATATATATACTTGAGGCCGGGGGTGGATGACGAAAGCTAGCGGGGTAGGAGAAAGAAGGAAGGGAAGAGGTGAGTGGCGGAGGGACTGTCATCATCGTGTCGCGGCATTGTTCGTCCCAACGAGGATGCAACAATGATATATTGATATATGATATATAACAATGATATATATGGGGGAGGGGGCAGGGGGGGCCCTTTCGCGGGAAAAATCACGTGATGTCCTTGGGGAGCCCCGGAATACGTGCTAAAGCAAGAAGACTCTAGCGAGCTGACGCTAGCTGTCGTGATAATGACAATAATTGCCAATAATGATAAAATGTAATTGAATAACGATGATGATGATGATGATGATGAATGATGAATGATGAATGATGAATGATGAATGATGAATGATGAATGATGAATGATGATGATGATGAATGATGAATGATGAATGATGAATGATGAATGATGAATGATGAATGATGATGATGATGATGATGATGATGATGATGATGATGATGATGATGAGATGACGACGAGGACGAGGACGATGATGATGATGATGATGATGATGACGATGGACGATGGAGAGGACGATGACGATGATGATGACGATGACGATGATGATGATGATGATGATAGAGATAGATAATGATGATGATGATGATGACGAGGATGCTGATGATGATGATGATGATGATGATGACGATGATGATGACGATGACGATGACGATGACGAGGACGATGACGAGGACGACGACGATGATGATGATGATGATGATGATGATGATGATGATGACGAGGACGCGGACGAGGACGAGGACGATGGAGAGGACGATGACGATGATGATGACGATGATGATGACGATGATGATGACGATGATGATGATGATGATGATGATGATGATGATGGTGGTGATGGTGGTGATGGTGGGGGAGGGGGGGGGCCCTTTCGCGTGAAAAATCACGTGATGTCCTTGAGCAGCCCCCCCAATACTTGCTAAAGCAAGAAGACTCCAGCTAGCTGACGCTAGCTTTCGTGAATATATATATATATATATATATAGAATTCACATATCCCAGTATAAGCTATAATAACCCGCTATAATTCACTATAATCCGTTATAAGCCATTATAATAAGCCACGTCATTGAACATTCTGCCCTCGCTCTCTTCATGCTCGGCTGCCCAGCACTTTCTCGTCCGGTTTTTCGACCGCGATGGCAAGTGGTGGAGTAACCTTAGGGGAACATCCGTGGCACCCGTGGCACGGGGTGTATGTATACATCACCATGAAGGTAACTTTCCTATGCATGGCTATCATAACATATATGTATGTGTATATATATATATGTATACACACATGCACATGAACAACATATGATACGAAGATTGATTGGAGTATCCAGTACGTTTGACGTAGTAATGTTTACTTGAATAAAACACACATCAACTTGACTTATATAGAGACTCATGACTATATAGATGTAAATGATTGTAAATGTATACTTGGCGTCCCTTGCAACCTTGAATATATACTCGAATTTGTGCTATGCACAGCGAACCAGATGGCCATGGCTATCATAGTTGGTCCCAGCGAACCAGAAATCTTCCCCTTTCTTCTTGGGAAATCATGGGACCTTGCCACCTTTGGTCGTATGAAACCAAGGGTAATTCCATCTTTGATAACCCAACTGCAGCAAGATAGCTGCGACTTTCTTCCGAATTCCTACCTTCCCACAGTATGTTGTGTATTTTTCCCCTCCCCGGAAAAAGTCGCTTTTTCACATTTTAGTCAGGATTTAAATATATTTTTCTAGGCACACTTTAGTCCGGTCATGTGAAATATCCATAGGCCCAACTCCCGGTCGGTGCTTCCCTGACCCCCAATTTCCATAGGATATCCATCCTCAAAAGCATCTGAAAATGATTGGTGAAACTCAACCCATCTGAAAATGATTGGTCATTGGGAGATCATCATTCTACCATCTGGTTGTAACTCACATAGCCATGGAAAGATCCACCATTTTTAATAGGTAAACCATCTATAAATGGACCATTTTTCATGTTAAATAACCAGAGGGTAAATATGGTTGAAAAAATGTATGTACAATAAACACTATGTGTATCCATCAAGCAGTCTAGCTTATTACTCATGTACATAATTGTTGGTGCAGTACTTGTGGTTAGAACATATCGCAACAGCAATGGTCTGGTTCAATCCTGCATGCTAAGGACTATTGATTAATGTCAATAAGACCATGCTATTAATGGAGAATGAGTACCCTCTGGTAAACATTTACATAACTATGGAAAATCCCCATTTTCAATTTTTCAATCGGTAAATCCACTATTTCTATGGTCATGTTCAATATAGAGCTATGTAACAAATGACCAGAGGGTACCACTTGCTGGCTCCTCAAGAGTCCCAATCACATCCTCCAGCAAGCGGTTGGGACATGTTGGGACTCTTGAGCAGCCAGCAATCATGATCGCCCAGGCAACCAGCTCATGGGCTTGTCGTTTTCGTCCTTTTCGTGCCCCGAAATTCTCAGACAGACCCAGAAAAAAAACGTGGGAACATACCAAATCCATCCCATTCCCCCATTGAATTCATTGGGAAGATCATGGGATAATCAACACATTCCAGATTTTCCACCAGATCTTCCGCATTCCCTCAGTCATCCGCCAACTTTGTTAGGTCCTACGAGTACGGCCTTCCCAGGTCACTCGGCCAGGAACCCTGGTCATGCTGCTGCCCGCCGTGATTCCTAAGTCGGACTCAGGGGACAAAGACGTCTCAGGGTGGAGCTTCGTGACTTTGGGATATGAAATGGAATATCATGGGAATGTCATGGACATGTCACGGGAATGTCATGTGAATGTCATGGAGATGACACTGGAATGTCACTGGAATATCATGGGAATATCATGGAAATGTAATGGGCCTGGTCAGCAGTCATCAAATAGGGCCAAATCCAGAAAACTATACATTGAGGACATGGGTGTGGCAAGGAAAAGCGTGGGAAAGAAGCCAAGTTGGTTGGCGTTCCACACTGGAGGGCAAACGTCATGGACCTGTGGTCCAATCATCAGTTGCTCCAGAGGAATGTTGCCGGTTCAGGCCTCCTGCTCCAATATGAATCCCAAATCGTTCAAGATTGCCGTTGGTGGTCCCTCCAAATATGACTGCAAGGCGTGACGCTGTTGCGTCAATCCTTCTGCAACACTGATCAAAGCCTCCGATGCAGCTTCACTTTCAATCAAGTGAATGTGTGGAAGGGTCCCTGGTTTTAAGATTGCTGTCACACCAACGACTCCTTGTGCGCTTCTGCCGACACCGCAGTGAACTGCGTATGTTTGCGCTTGCCCACTAGTTCCGACACTGCCGGTCACGGAGTACGCTCCTTCAGAATTGCCGGCAAAGCAATTGGAAGGTTGGGGATGGGTAACAAAAACGACTTCCGCGCCATTTTCTTTTGCCTGGTAGACTGTGCCTTGAGCGAGCACACCTTTCGAAGTAGCACCGGTCAAAGTGACCTTGGACCCAGGCGAAAAACTCGGTGCAACTGCTTGACTTTGGGTATCGGGCGACAAGACCACGACTCCGTCGGAGAATCCTGTCGAGGGTTCTGTTGCATCTGGGGGAACCCTTTTCACCTGACATTTCCAAACGTGTTTCCCGATACGCACGATGATCTTCTCGTCGCTGCGCAGCTCTCTGAGTGACTGCGTCTTCGTACCAACGAGGTTGGTACTGGGAATATCATGGAAATATCATGGGAATATCACGGGAATATCATGGGAATATCATGGGAATATCACGGGAATATCATGGGAATATCATGGGAATATCACGGGAATATCATGGGAATATCATGGGAATATCATGGGAATGTCATGGAGATATCATGGGAATATCATGGGAATATCACGGGAATATCATGGGAATATCATGGGAATATCACGGGAATATCATGGGAATATCATGGGAATGTCATGGAGATATCATGGGAATATCATGGGAATGTCATGGGATGCAATGATGTAATGGGATTTGCCTTCTGTCAAACCAACTGTATGCGAACTGGAAAAACATAAGTTTTAACGACGGGAAATCATCGACGTATAGATCAGTCATGGCTTCCATGGCGATGTTAGTTTACCGGAGGGTGCCTCAAAAATGGATGGTTACCAAACATGATCACCGGAGGGTTTCCCCATCCCGAAATATGACTTCGGGGGATCGGCATCTCAGGTATGATGCACTGGCGAAAAATCCCAACTTTTGCTGCTTGTGCCCCCAAGTGTGTCCTTTGGACATCTTTGGACCACCAACCAACCAACCCAAATGATGGACCAACAAGCGAACAAAAACTCATTGAACTTCTCTTCCGATCGCGCCCAGCGACCAAAGGATCTGCGCGTCGATTCCCGACGTTGTGACTTGCGCCGGCCCTGAAGGAGGTGACCTTCCGACTTATTAGACCTCCTCGGGATTGAAGCAACCATTGTTTTGAGTCCGCCATCTGAAGAAAGCTACAAAGTGGACCCCATAGAAAGCTTAGTTGCTTTTTAACTAGCATCACGCTTGGGGTGAAGGTAAATATATTGGTAAATATTTATATATATATATAAATATACATACATACAGTATCGAACATAGCTAATTGGGTTACAAACCAAGTTTTAAAGTGGGGAGGCAGCACCTTGTTGCAGCTGATGTCAGATAGAGGGGTTTAAACTACATTGTTCCGAAACTCTTCCAAATATAGGCACATGATCAATGTCCGTTAAAATTTCATCTAAAACTTCGAAACGTGGGCTGTCAGAAAACCATGGCTGCCATGTTGCAAAATGCCGTTGGGGGCTGGGCAAACACAGGTTCCTCAACGGACAAAAATCTGCAGGTTCCTCAACAAAATATGCCTATGCATCAACTGGGCTTGGCCAGTTTCTGTGAAATATGTATTCGCATGTAGACAGATCTTCCACCCAAAATTGGATCAACATCGACTGAAAGTGGCCCAGGATTGGCCACTTCATCTGTGGTAGTCCCTTGTTTCCTCCAAATCATGGGCATTCGACAGGACGGTTTCAAGTTGTCCAACAGATCCACTATATGGAGGTGTCCTGAAATAGGGGTGCCCCCAGTCATCCATTTATAGATCGGATTTTCCATGAAAGAAACCATCCAGCTATTGGGGACTCCCATGGATTGGAAACCTCTATGTCAAAGACCACCTCATCTATTGCAATGGATAATCTCAGATACCCCGCAAAGCAAAAGTAGCAGATTACTTCGACGTACTTTCCAGTTATCACTAGGGTTTTCCTACGAAAAGACAGGTGATAACTGGGATGCACATCCGAGTATATACTTTGATTTTTCACATTTTTCCTGTCCCTTTTTGGGCAAACCAAAAAGCCAGGGTCCCTGCCTTGATTGCAGGCTTTAGACCTGTGAGCTTGGAACCATATGAAGAAAGGGCTGTTTTCCCAACAACCGAGATATACCAGAGGTATATCCAATGAACTTTGAGTTGGACCTGTAAAATTGGAAAATCAATGAATCCATAGGATCGATTTCATAAAACTCTTCATCTGGTTGGTGGTTGACCTACCCCTCTGAACAAATATGAGTCAGTTGGGATTATGACATTCCCAACTGAATGGGAAAAATATAAAATCCCATGGTTCCAAAACACCAACCAGTCATAGATTTCATAGGATCCCATGAACATCGATGAACACATTTGAGACTTTTGCGCCCGTTGACCCAGAAGGAGAGTTGGTGGATTGAATCTGTGCAATTTTGAATCGGTGCCCGGTGAAAGATGTTTTATGTTCACCCATCTAGACAATCGAACTATAGATATTTCATCATCATAAAATCAATGGGAATTCCAGGATCCTAAAATGGAGGTACTGTACCATATAAGGCCATATTTAGTGGTTATATTCCCATTGACAAATCCTTAGGGTAAATCTAGTTATAAACCGAATGAACTATGCGCAACCACCAAAAATATCCAAAAATACGCTTCAGTCACTTGGGGGAGTACAACATAAAGGGCTAGCTGATCAACTCTCCAACAAAAGGGACTTGATAGCTCCAAAAATCAATTGACAAAAAGCAATGGTTTAAAAATTTAAGATCACAAGACTGTTCAGCTATTTCAGCTACACAGCTTGGCACTTGTCGGATTTTTGTTTCTACAAAATCAGGACAGGAACGCGCAAATGCCCTGCACACAGCCATTGGAAAGACTCCAAATTAGAGGACCCTGTAGTAATTTCAAACCAAAAACCCATGGACCCATCAGTTCAATGAATTGCCCATTCAAAATAGTGACTTTCCATATACAGTATATAAATATATATGTTATTATATATATATATACATAATCATATATATATATATATGTATACGCATACATTATATCTATACAGCTATGTTAGACTACCGGAGGGTAAAGTGCTGCCCGGATTAGCAAGAGCTGCTCTTACAATTCATGCAACCCAGAACTGGTGGCTGGCAACAAACAGATCAAGTGGTATCATCCCAAGCGGATTTCGAACAAAATGGCACTGCACAGATACCTATTTCAATATATATATATATGCTCTCTGGTAAATTAACATAGACCCTGAAAATAAGCCGTTTCTAATGGAAATTCATCTTCCAACCCTTATCTGCCAGGGTCTATGTTAATTTACTGGAGGGTATATGTGTATATAATTGTATATATATATTGATGGAGTATACATAAACAAATGTATCGATATCACCACCTTACATGTCCACTGTCCACTTGTTACATTCATCACCACTTCGCAAACGCTCTCCCAGCTCCGACCTTTGAACTGATCAATCTGATCTTCCAGGACCTGCTAAGTCGAACGTAGAAATCTGTGGCTTAGTGCTTTCCCAAACCGTGGAATATTGAATGGAAAACCATTGCGAAATACCAACACACAAAAAAAAAACACATGATGTCAGCATGGTCATCATAAGTTGGGTATCATGTTTTAGATGGAATATGCTCATCAGCAAAGACTCTACATAACAACATTCCCAGTGTGTGTGTGTTGGGTATCATGTGTATATATATATATATATTGAAAAAATATACGTATGTATATATATGTGTGTGTAATATATATATATATATGTATATATATATATGTGCAATATAACTGAAATATATATATATGTAATATAATATATATATATATTACAATTATTTAAACATATTACATATATATATATATATATATATTGCATATATGTAAAATATATATATTACATATATATATTACATATATATATATCTAAATAGATATCATAAGAATAATTATATATAAATAATTAAATATGTAAAATAAAAAAAATGTAATATATATATAAATATATATATATACAGTATATATATATACAGTATATATATACAGTATATATATATACAGTATATATATACAGTATATATATATATACAGTATATATATATATGTGTAATGTGTATATATATATATATGTAATATACATGTATACATATATGTAATATAGATATATATATATATCTGTAATATATATATATATGTAATATATATATATATAATAAATATCAATATATTACATATGTATATATATATATTACCTATATATATAATATAAAATTGTAACATATATATATATGTAATATATATGTAATATATATGTGATATATATATATATGTAATATATATATATATATACTACGTACATATCATTTTTATCTCGGAGTTTTCCGCTGGTGCACCACGGATGCGGGACACTCAAAACCGACTTTCATGGGGCTTTAACAGTTTATTCTAACTGTTCTCGTTGGGGTCAAGCCGAACTTTACTGCAGCTTAAAGAAACGATGTAAGAAGTGGTACAAGGCCATCACTGAAGGAAACTTTCTTTCAGCTATGAGTCACAACCCCAGCAAAAAATCCGGATGGTAAAAGAATGACAAAGAGGTCGGACCGATTTTGACATCATTATCCAGCCTGTATGAATCCAGAGTTGTCAAGTTCCTGGCTGATCTTAAATGCTATGCATTTTTTCCAAGTACTTTTAAACAAGGGAACCCATATAGAGAACCCATGAATCTAACTGGTGATGTCTTATCAATACAAAAAACAGTTCAATATGGGTTATTTCAATGATGTTTCATATTATGCTTCCTACCCCTATACGAAAAGCGCCTTCTGTTGACGTGCGTGGGCCTGTTCGATCTCCTGGCAGGTTGGATATGGTTGGATCCCTCTGGTAAACATACAAACAACGATGAAAAATCACCACTTTTCATAGCTGGTTGCTGGTTGACCTACCCCTCTGAAAAAAAATAGAGTTCGTCAATTGGGATCATGAATTTTCCAATATATGGAAAAAATAAAAAATCATGTTCCAAAGTACCAACCAGATATATAGATAAAGCAACGAACTAAATGGCCATGTTCAATAGCTATTGTTAAATTACCAGAGGGTATCGTAGAATTATTACCCCCTTTGCTATCCTTTACTGCGATGCACATCAAAGTACCTAGGTGTAGGTCGAGTCGGAACCGAACGTGGGGCCAACGACCAGTTTCTTGTCTTCTTGTCGGTTTTGGCTCTGAAAATACATCCCATATGCTCCGTGCTGGAATATTTACCATAATTTGGTTGAATTTTTGGGTAAACGCTGGTCAATATTCCATCAATGAAGCGTTGGGGCATGTTTCATCTTATTGTGGACTCCATTTTTGTGTATTTTTTGTGGGATATACCACCTGGTAAACTAACCTAAGTATGGAAAATCACAATTTTTTATGGGAAATCTCACTATAAATGGCCATGTTCAATAGCTTTTTGTATGTTTACCAGAGGGTATGTCAAACAATCTTGCAGATCAACCCAATATTTGAAACCCATCAACCGGTAACCCCAGTGACCCCAATGGACCCTAATGGTTGTCCTCATCTGGATGCAGTACATCGCACGCGTGCCACACCTGAAAAACGATATGGGTATCAGGACCTGGATGGATAGTTTTGTACGCTTGAAATGGTTGGTTCAAAAGCTATGAAACCATATCGGGGTTTCTTAAAATGCGGGATCCTTAAAACAAGAGCTTGTTTCAATACTAAAATATACTAAAATGGTCTAATTTTGAATGATTTGAGGTACCCCCATTGTAGGAAAGCTCTATATTTCAAAAGGAATGGACATTGACCAGTCGCAGGTATTGGGGTTATCCAATACTAAGCCATGGTTTGTGGTGGTATTTCATATTAGACGGACGGGACTGTTGATACATATGTATGTTTTAAGCAATGGATTCTATGAATTCCATATGATTCTGTGTTATCTCTTCATACCACGTATTTTGAAAGTTTATTTTACATTCCCTTACGGTAAAGCCCCAACTTCAAATCCACCACTAGGTTTCTGGCTTTTTCTGTCACCCAAAACGTCTCTGTTGAGGTGATATCGTTGAACTACCGCCGAGGATGCCCGTGACAAAAAAAGTTTAGTAACTGTTCGTTTGCGAAGTTTACACAAAAACTATTTAATTTACTGTATATATATATACGTGTATATATATATATTATATACATGAATAATATGCATAAATTATACAATATTCACTGGTTCCCGTGTGCTATAGCTCCATATTTTTCAAGTGCACCTTTTTTTCACCTACTGTTCACCCAGTTTCAAAAGCCATCTTCGTGATTTTTCCAGCGTCTCTCATCAGAATGGAGATCTGGTTAGCTTCAGAAGACTGGCTGGTTGGTGTTATACCTACCCCTCTGAAAAAAAATATGAGTTCGTCAGTTGGGATCATGAAATTCCCAATATATGGAAAAATATTCCAAACCACCAACCAGCTGGGAGGGGCCTTGAAGGATTTACTTGTCTTCAGTTTGGATTATCTTCAATTCTCCCCTGTCCTTCTCTTGACAGCCTCAGGCTGATTCATTAAGGTCCAGCACTTGACTTGACATGAGGCACGCTCTTCACTTTCTTTGGCCTCCTCCAGCTCGTCCATCAATAGCTAATGTAAGGCTTTCACGGGTTTCATTTTTAACTTATTATAACATAGTTTAAAAGGGAAGGTCACAGACCACGTGTGTTCCCATTACTTTATATTAATTTCACTTGGCTTCAAACTGCGGAGGTAGTTAAGTGGGAGGTACCCTCAATTCACGTAGACATGGAAACCCACCGGCGTTTTTGATCATTTTCCACAAATGGGAGTTCCGCCCCAGCCATTTTCCCAATGTTTGATGCTTTAATTCCAATTTTCCCACGAATAAATCACCATGCGCCAGCCAGGCATCAAGGCTCAGGTTGCCAAGAACCAGGGACCCGGGCGGAACGATCAAAGGTCTGCGTCATCGTTTTCATCTCGGAGGAGATCGCTGGAACCAGTTGGTATGGCAAAATATAGATCTTACCCAAAGCATCAGAAATGATGAACTAGTAACAATACCCATGGGGAGATTTTTCCTCAAGCCAATGGGTCAGAACGTTCAAAATCCTGCAAACATTCAAGAAACGCTAAGATTTTGGTCACACTGTTTTACCAGCACAGTGTGGATCAAATCAACTGGCTCGTACTGGGGAAATGTGCATCCCTTTGACCCACTGCCTCCTAGCTGTTGGGCACTAGTCTTGGATCCTTTCATGGGGCACCGGGCACCGGGATTTTTGGATCGCCATATTTTTTTGGGTCCCTTTAAAATTGTTGGATCATGATTTCCCAATGGACTGATATACTTCCATGGACTTAGTCACATGGCCTGTCCACCTCGTCAGGCTGGGAGTAAACTTCCCCTACCAAGGAACTTCAGGTACCCTGGCAAAACAAGAACCTGAAATAAGGGGATTTTGGAACGTTTTCCCCAACTTGGCTTGGATGTGGATCCCAATTACTAACTTGGTCATATCCACATCAAGTAACCCAGTTTTTTGGCAGTGGATAGATAGACCCCAGTTCTATATGGGATGCAAACCACTTTCAATTTGGATGCACCCGTAAATCTACTTAAATCTGTTGAATTCTTTTTGTTGATAGCCACACTTCGGAGGCAAACCCACGATTTCAATCGCACTCAAATCCTTTGGATGTTCATTGGATATACCCTCGGGTAAACTAACATAACTATGAAAAATCACAATCTTTATATAATGGGTAAATCCACTATAAATGGGTCATTTTCAATAGCTATGTTTGTTTACCAGAGGGTACATCCCGTCGTTCTGGTGGCTTCTGGTGACGCCAAAAGGCCATGGTGGAGACCATCTCTCGAAGCTGGTTGCGTTGGCTCACAAACCTGAACGCCAAGTCGTGCGCCAGGTCGTGAACGCGGCGTCAGTTGCTGAACGTGATCACATCACTGCAAATTCACTTGTAGTTTATGAATGTTCACCAGATGTTCTTGATACAGTAGATCGAACTAGTTTATGGGGGTTGTCAACCAACGTAGCTTATTTTTTTGGGGGGACAAGCACCTTGACTGAGTGTTGGAACCGTATAGCTTGGGACATTGAACATGGTGGATTTCATGACTACTGGGATGTTCATGGGATATAAGTAATCAACATGCGGACTTGGATACATTTGATCAATGAAGAATCTAGGACTGAACATAGGGGGTCTTGACAACAAGACTGGGGTAGAGTATGAAACTAATCTATCTGGATATGATTTGGTAAATAAGAAACATACATATAGATATATAAAGATATAGGTATATAAGAAACATACATCTAACTATGTGTGTATATATGTATATATTTATATATGTACATACTATGTATGTATATATACAGAATTTCTATGAGGCTTAGAGGTTTCATGAGGCTGGGAGCCTGGGAGTTGCTGTCAATGGCACAGTTTTCTCCATTATTTGGTCAGGGTGATACCTTCATCATACATAGCGTTCTTCCATGGCTGGCACTCACCAGTTCTTCCCTGCCAGTCTTCAAATAAAGTCTGGATAATCTGCGAATCTTAGTTGATCCGAAAATTGACTGAACACATGGGTTAGATGCCTCAAGTCATGCCCATTTCAATGGACATAAATGTGATCAACAACCAAATGTTGCGTACCCTGTTTTCAGACAAATCCACATTGCATTACGAAAATCGAACTGCCAACCCCAGATTAACAACCTCTGGTTGATGACTTCATTTTCGTCCACGTATGATTTGGTCGATTCAGTTGAATCCTCTCCTGCACCGCCACAAGCCACAAATCGCCGAAGATTCACCAAACAAAAGCAGTACAAAAGTGGCAGAATATTCCGACTTTGATGGGTATACAGTTAAACCATGCTAAACTCCATTTGAAGACACAGAAATCTGCTGGTTCCAATGCAAAAAAAGGTCAGACCTCTCCTGCAACCTCCTAAAGTTGGGCACACGCCAGCAAGAGGTTTGGGCGTCAAAGAGGTATGGCCAAGAATATGTCCATAATACATAACAAACATATTTACATATGTTTACAGGAATATGGATACATAATACTTCTGCAACTAACCTAAATTAAGGTTCGTTATTTTCGGAATAGTTATTCCACTGATATCGCAGTGAGATCATAATGTCCATATATGTATATATTAAAACATGTATACATATGCACATATTTATTTCCATTTGTTTATATAATTCTTGTATATATATATACATCAATATATAATTCAATATATCTATTATATACACAATATACACATGTAATGTGTCTACATGAAATATATATATATATATCCCCAATTCCATCCATCAAAGTCATCCAATGAGGATCCCGACCCTGGGTTCTTGCCTTTACTGGCCTCGCTGGCCTCGATTTAAGGAGTGGCCAATGAACATGTCTCGATGTGGGTCAGGTTTGTAGCCTGGGAATCCTTGCCGTGGGTATATTATTTAGAATAAATAATATGTAAACTAATAATATATATATATATTTACATGCATTATATAATATGTAATATATACTACATCGTATATAAAACGTAATATATAATATGTAATATATAACAATGAAGAAGCATATATACTATCTTAAAAATATATAAAATACAAATTATGACATATAAACAAATTATAATATAACATATCAAATACATACACATCTATATATGTTAAAAATATATTATAAATAATATATTATATAAAATAGTAGTAATATAATATAATTAAAAACGCACATATATTATTTACATGTTTAAAAAACACTAACAAATTTAAAAAGTGATACAACACATATAATATGAAGTATATAGTAAAACTTACATATCTCAAATATATATATATATATATATACTATACTATATATACATACATAATAAACACAAACTACATATACTATACACTATTTTATATGTAATTTAAAACCATACATACAAAATAATACATGATATGCAATATATATATATATATTATAAAGCATATAGTATAATTTAATATATAAATATAGTGTATATATACTATGATCTATATTATGTAGTAAAATATGTAAAACAGTAATATATATATATATATATATAATAGTGATATATATATAATATAGTAATAACATCATAGATAGAAAAATAAAGTGTATATATATATAGTAATATAGTATATAGTATTATATTTAATAAATAGTAATATATATATACATAATATATAGTAATACACATATATATAATATAGTCTAATACAATTTAATATAATGCAATAAAACACACTAAAATATAACTTAACATAATTTAATATCATAAAGCAGAATATGAAATGATATAGTATGATATATATCCCTATGAATAAACTACTATCCCCCAAGAACTGGTACAGATTCCGACAAGGGTCTAGCAAAGTTAGCATTGCCGATGACAAACCTGACATTCCACTCACACATCTTTCTCATGATTCCATCCGTTCGACGATGTGCAGTAGGCTTCCGTAGGCTTTCATCGACCTTCCCAGATCCACGTGTAGCGAGGTTTTCTCATCAAAGTGACAGTCTGAATCCTCAGACACTGCATCCAAAGGGACAACAACATGCCAAAGCATCGCAGCAATTCAGGCTCTGAAACCATGACACTTATTATTCTGTCTTGTTGTTAGGCCTCTAAAACTGAACTTGTACAAGAAAAATACCTCAGATTTAAGATTTTGAGATGTATTATGTGTTCATTGCTTTACTATATGTTTCTATTTTTGGTGATGTTTTTCTGGCGTAGCGTACCAAAGATCTTGAGAAGCAAGAAACCCCTCGGGGGGGTCCAGGACCTGAGGCCATGCTCGGCAAATCTTGGCCAAAGAAAGATTTCGTCAGGTCGTTCACATCGAATCCCGTTGATCTATTAAAGTAGGTATTATGTAAATAGGATTAAATAGGTACATATTACAACATAGACATATACATGTATTTCAAGTTATGTTAACATATGTTAACATATAACATGATAATCATTGATCTTTGGGACAAAATCACAGGAACAGGCTTCTACTGGGATGGCTAAGGACCTTCAGTTTTTCAAGGAAATCTGTGTCGATTCTCGCATGTTTGCTTGGTAAGCACCCGGTTCAATTTTTGCAGGGTCTCTGAGGAAACAAAACCAACAAGAGAATCATGATATCATCCCTATACATCTACTATTTTCAGGATGATGAGGGTACTCGGCACAAGCATTTTTCCTGCTAGGCATCATCAAATTTCTCACCATCCACATGGTTTCCCATCAGATGCGGCGCCTTCAACCAACTCCTGGGCTCCAAAGCGGTGGAGATGCTGGAACATGGCTATTTCGCATGTTTATCATGTTTGGAATCTGGTTGGTCGTTTCAAGCCCTCTGAAAAATATGAGATTGTCAGTTGGGATGATTCTTCCCAATATATGGAAAAATAAAAAATGTTCCAAACCACCAACTAGGAATTGTCATGCCTGCTTTGCATATGCACATGTCGAAAAAAACACTCACGGGTGACAGTGGTGTATAGCTGACCACTTTTTGTCCAGAAAAAACAATGTGAATAATATCATCAAAACGGTACAACAAAAACATGTTTCAAAAAATGAAGTGAATAAGAAACCAATAGAGAATGCACGACCTAATCCTTCCTGAAACCTGCATCCCAAATTCCCAGACCCATCAAATTGGTTCAACCTCGTCCAAAGATTATGTGCCTATTATTTTTATTATTCAATATAACACTTTTCCATAGCTACATTAAATAACCACAGGGTAGACGGTTGTTTGATCAAACATTGTCAACTCGTCCCTGCACCATCCCCCAGTCACTGTTCCTCCGTCGTTCGGAGAGACGTCGTGCAGAGACGGAATATCCTTGGTGATGCTAGATGTGGTCGTTTGAACGTGTATCCCAGATGCTCCATGGTGCTGGTATATTTACCTACAAAATCTGGGTGATTTTTTATTCCAGCACCATGGAGCATCTGGGAAGTATGTTTGCATGATTTTGTGAGAAGAAAAGGCTAAAAAGTCTACCATCCCTCAAATTAACATTGACCCTGCCATGAGTTGGCGGAAGACTGCATTCCTCCAACAAGTTGTGATTCTCAGGGCCAAACTGTTGATTAGTTTAGGGGATGGCAATTCACATTTGCTCAAATATCTGCAAAAGTAATTCTGATTCCTAAGCTGGAAATGATCGTGAGTCGAAAAGATATAAGGGTCCAGCAGACCCATTTTCGAAATCAAACCAACCAATTTGTGGGGAATACTGCACTCAAGCAACCATGATGAGGTTCGGATGTGCAAGTGGTTTAGGGTGATTGTAAAGCTAACTTGTAGCAGTCTGAATCTTTGAAGAAGGAAAACCATGATGGCACTGCAATGGTTTGTCCTCATCCAGGAGTGTAGGTGGGAAGTGTAGAAGTTGAATTGCTCAAGGTTTAGTCTCCTAGTGGATCTGTCTTTATGTAGACTTGCATTCCGGTTGGTCTATTCTCTCAGCTTTTCATTCAAATAGCATTACAAATCTCGAACATGGGAAAATCCAGTGAACTTCCCAAAAAAAAAATCCATGTTTTGATCGTGAAATGTGTTACATCCACCTTTTTCTTCTGTCATTTTGTCACCCCACCCCGCCCTCGCCGGTGGCTCCAAGTCTCTATGGTCTCCGGCGTCCTCAGGTGACCGCGGTTTCTCCTGCGAAGGACCTGGGCAAAGGATGGCCATTCGATGACCAACATCACTGGTTGCTGGTTTTCCCACGAAAAAAGGTGGTTTCATGGGATTTAACCACTATAAATGGTGATTTAATGGTGATTTGATGGTGGTTTACCCTCTGGTAATGACTAACATAGCTATTGAACATTGCCATTGAAATAGTTGATTTTCCCATAAAACATGGTGCTTTTCCATAGTTATGTAAATGTTTACCAGAGGGTAAAGTGAATGTGCGAATTTTTGGAAAAATCACTCAAGTATTGGGAATATAATCTCCAGGTACTTGAAAATGAGGTTATCCGCAAAATAGGACACTTACCAACCCCGGTTGAATAGGAACAATGATGGTGTACTTTCAGACAAGCCATGACAAGCCCGTTTTCTCGGCTGAAAATTAAGGGATGCTATACAAGGAGTCGTCCCGCGAATCGTGGGTCGTGGATTTTAACCTGCAACCACTGCAGAGCAGTCATAAGCACCTTTGGCACCCCACGTAGTGCCAAGTGAACCCCAATCATGGTGATGTCCAAGCCATGTGCCTCGTCAATGACGGCAATAACATCATTCCCGTTTATCCAGCCAGATCTGGCCACTGGATTCTGCCGCCTGTGGCGTATAGAATATCTGCTTCGCGATTGAACTCAGTCTCCTGGCGAGATCGGTCTCCGGTTGTAAAGGCGACCTTGAGCCAAGGATGGCTCTGCGCAACAAGAGAGGCTGGATTACGTGCATTTGCACGGCTTGGTTGAAAGCAAACCACCTTGCGGTTTGCGCAGAGCTGGGATATGGGATTGGAACTGCACTGTCTTCCCAAATCCCGTCTTCGCCCAGGCAGCGAGCGCAAGCGTCTCAAGCGGATGGAGGATGAAGTACCATGTAGATCAAGTGGGATATATGTGGAATTTGTGTATGCCAACCCAACCTTCCTGATTGAGTCCTTGGCCAGTCAACCTGAAGGTTGTCCACTGTTTGGTGGGGTGATTGCGTTATATATGGTCAACAGATTATTCCATAACCAAAACGTATTATTCTACAGCCAAAACGTATTATTCCTCAACCAAGGATTATTCCATAACCAAACCGTATTATTCTTCAACCATGAAGTGCTATTCCTCAACCAACGATTATTCCACAACTAAGACGAAATATTCTTTAACCAAACCATATGATTCCTCAACCAACAATTATTCCATAACCAAAACGGGCTATTCCAAAACCAAAAGGAATTTGAACCAAACCAAGACATGAACTGCTCTAACCCAAGTTCCGGTCGCATCTTCTAAAAAGCGGGGCTGCTGGCTGAATACTTAAATTTGATCTATTGGTTTGCGGGGGTGGAGATTTTGTAAGTTTCTTGTAACTTGTCAAGAATCTTCAATAATGAAAGTAAGTAGCGGTAGTCTTCCCTAGGAAGCAGGGCTGCTTGCTGAAGACTTGAATTTGATCTATTGTTTTGCGGGGGTGGGGGATTTTTAAATGCCTTGTAACTTGTCAAGAATCTTCTATAATGAAAGTAAGTAGCGGTAGTCTTCCCTAGGAAGCAGGGCTGCTTGCTGAAGACTTGATTTTGATCTATTGTTTTGCGGGGGTGGGGGAGTTTTAAATGTCTTGTAACTTGTCAAGAATCTTCTATAATGAAAGTAAGTAGCGGTAGTCTTCCCTAGGAAGCAGGGCTGCTTGCTGAAGACTTGAATTTGATCTATTGTTTTGCGGGGGTGGGGGATTTTTAAATGTCTTGTATCTTGTCAAGAATCTTCTACAATGAAAGTAAGTAGCGGTAGTCTTCCCTAGGAAGCAGGGCTGCTTGCTGAAGACTTGAATTTGATCTATTGTTTTGCGGGGGTGGGGGATTTTTAAGTTTCTTGTATCTTGTCAAGAATCTTCTATAATGAAAGTAGGTAGCGGTAGTCTTCCCTAGGAAGCAGGGCTGTTTGCTGAAGACTTGAACTTGATCTATTGTTTTGCGGGGGTGGGGGATTTTTAAATGTCTTGTAACTTGTCAAGAATCTTCTATAGTGAAAGTAAGTAGCGGTAGTCTTCCCTAGGAAGCAGGGCTGCTTGCTGAAGACTTGAATTTGATCTATTGTTTTGCGGGGGTGGGGGATTTTTAAAGTTTCTTGTATCTTGTCAAGAATCTTCTATAATGAAAGTAAGTAGCGGTAGTCTTCCCTAAGAAGCGGGGCTGCTGGCTGAATACTTAAATTTGATCTATTGTTTTGCGGGGGTGGGGGATTTTTTAAGTTTCTTGTATCTTGTCAAGAATCTTCAATAATGAAAGTAAGAAGGGGCAGTCTTCCCTAAGAAGCGGGGCTGCTTGCTGAATACTTAAATTTGATCTATTGTTTTGTGGGGGTGGGGAATTTAAGTTTCTTGTAACTTGTCAATAATTTTCTACAATGAAAGTAAGTAGCGGCAGTCTTCCTGGTGGAATCAACAGTTGTTAGTTGTAGAATCGCGAGATTTTGGTTGTGGAATCCTGAGATGTTAGTTGTGGAATCGTGAGAGTTTGGTTGTGGAATCCTGAGGTTTTGGTTGTGGAATCGTGGGAGTTTGGTTTTGGAATCCTGAGATTTTGGTTGTGGAATCGTGGGAGTTTGGTTGTGGAATCGTGAGAGTGTGGTTGTGAAATCGTGAGAATGTAGTTGTGGAAGCGCGCCGGCTTTGGTTGAGGAATCGCGTGGTTTGGTTCTGGAATCGCGTGGTTTTGGTTCTGGAATCGTGAGAACGTAGTTGTGGAATCGCGCTTTGTTCCGTTATACATACTTGGAGGATCATCCCGCTTGGTAAGTGGTTAATAACCCTGGTTAGTATAAATCCCCTAGGTGGATTATCCTGTTTAGACATGGGTTGTAACTATGGTCAGTAACCAGTTGCTTTGTAATAAATGGCGATATGACCAAAAACAATGGGGAAGTAACCCATTAAAATTCAATTTTCTGATGGTTAATTCCCATTAAATCCCATAAACAGATGATACACATGTTTTTCATATAGGTGAATTCCCATTGAAACACCACCAAATTCATTGGCATCTCCACTGCCTCCTGAGTAGCTGCTCAATGACGCTGAAACATCAGAGGGCCTTAGCCACACTTCAACGGAGTGTGGAGCGTGTACTGGCCATGCTTTAGGTGGTGTTTACAATGCCGATAATATTACAGTACACGTATGTATATGTATATATATATATGTGTGTGTGTTACTATGTATCCAGATTTATCCAATATAAATTGCATGAACGTATTGCTTCACCTAAACCCTTCATGGCTAGATATAATATTAACATGCCAATATGCCCTTCTTCCTATTACTAAAACTCCCCCAAATAAAACAAAAATAGGATTGGTGTGGCACTTCCGTTTTTTTATGGTTGGGCACAAATTGATTCTTAATTGCGGTAGTTGAGAATCAGTAGGAGAACAGGATGGTTGTTCAACCCCCTATTAATAAAAATAGAATGGTACCTGGAGGTTTTTTATTAGGGTCCCATCACACAAGTTTTATCTTTTATTTTTATTATTAAGGTTTTCATTGGAATATTAGGGGAAGGCTTCGAAATCCAGTTTTTGGCAATATTTTATATAGATTTAAACAAGGGTTTTAATCAAATTTGAAATTGCTTTTTATTTTTATTCTTAGGGTTTTCATGGGAATATTAGGGTCACCCTAATACAAAATACCCCCTAATAAAAATATATCACCGTGTTTACCATTTGGGGGGGGGCGTTTTTGTTTTCGGGAGAGAGGATTAGGTGGTTTATCCCATTATTTATAGGTTTTCTACCATCCCAGGTCCAGGATCTCGCAACCATCCACAGTCTCTTGTTTTTGTTGTTTGGGCTTTAAAATGGGACCAGGAAACACATCTAGTCAGTGGCCAACATGATTGTTGAGTCTGTCTGACAATGGGGGATGCATCACCCTTAGCAATGGAGGAATGAACAGAGACCGTGAACCTTGGGGTACCCTATTTTCGGACCAAACACACATATAAAATCATATCAATGAAAAATCCAAAGGCAGTTTGGGGCATTGCCCTTGAAAGCAACAATCCGACATTTTCTCAAAGTCTAGTTGGGAGAAACATAGCACTGCTTCTTACGTGTTTCCAATAACTGCCACTGGGAAATTTTGATCTGTCCCAAGTCTTTCGGATGAGCAGGGTCAAGCAAAAAATGGCAAGCAAGGTTGAAAACAAGACGTGCCATGTTGAACTAAAAACTATATGTCTGGGGATGTTCCACAAAAAACATCATCATCATCATCATCATCATCATCATCCTCATCCTCATCATCCTCATCATCATCTTCATCCTCATCCTCGAAGACAAAACAGGACGCCCATTTTTCAAACGGGGGGACCGTCATCATTTTCTTGGAGGTCCATCATGTTCCATCATCATTCTCCATTTTTTTAAGGACCATCATCATCACCAATCATTTTCCAGGTCTTCCAGGTCTTGTTTCAGGGAGGTGTCTTAAATTTGTCATCGCCCAGTGGCGGCACGTTGAGAGGCCACGTGGCGGCCCAGTGGACCAAGTCCTGAGGCACGTTGGGAGGTGGCTGTGCCCCCAGCGATGTTTCTTGGTGACCCCCATTCACTATAGTATATTAGGGTTATATGAGAGTTATGTCATGTTATGTCCCCTATAAATGCCTATAAACCTTAGTTCACCAAGTTAGCCACCTGGAATGGTATCCTTTTTAGCCCAGTGACACAACGGAATTTCCAACTTCGCGAAGCAACGAAAAGGCGAGTCTAGCAGGATGATAAGACCCTACAACAAACATGTTAAAATAATCCCACAAATGGCCATCAAATAATATGTTCAGAACCCCACACTATGACCATCAAATAGGCTACAAGATGGTTCACTCTGCTTAGTGACAAATATTCCGGTCTGATCGATGGGGTATACGGTCGCAGGGCTAGGCCTATTCCAATAAAGGGGGTTAGTTCATCGATTTAGTGTAAATCACCAAGTAGAACATGATCCACCTTCTAAATAATTCATATACATACACAGTTTTTTTTTGGCAGGGAAAAAAGTGTTGCAAAGCCAACAATCAAAAAAATGCCTGCAGTCAGTTTACAATTTAAGTATCGGACAAAAACTCAAATGAACTTGTCAGGTGTTTCTCGGTATCAATTGGGTTCCATACTTGCAGGAAAACTTGGGGTTCGGACCAAACAAACATGGAAGTCTCAAGAACGGGATGGGTTACTACAGTCCTGGATCGGATAACTTGAGATGTCGGGCTGATCAAACCCAACTTGGTCAACATTTCAGGACGAAAACAAAATATGACATGGTCACCCTTTGTATCAAGAATACCGTACATATACCAATGGGTTTGGCTCACATTCCGGTGCTTGGTCTTGGCGGAACAACCGTCACATTTTTTTCACATCGTCCCTGGAGATTCCCCTTAATCCGAGTGGAAAATCGGAGCCACCGCGGAGTTCTCTACGTTGATTCATATTGATCGGTGCCAATCAGTCACTGATGGTTAATATTAATGGTTATTATATGGTCAATGATGGTTAATAAGAGTCTGGTTGGTGGTTTCAACCTACCCCTCTGAAAAATCTGAGTTCGTCAGTTGGGATTATGAAACTCCCAATATCTGGAAAAGAAATGTTCGAAACCACCAACCAGGTCATCATCTGCTACCAAAATAACACGCACAGTCAAACAGCCCCAGGGTTAATTGATCCCCAGGGGTTGACATTAGTGAAGGTTAGCTCTGGCTTCCTTGGGCATGTGCCAGCTGTGCCAGAATTAGATCTGCCTGTATGTGCTTTGACCCATGATTCATTCTGCACATTTTGCATGTGCATTGATACGTGCATAAAAAGACAAAACGGCGTGCGGGCCATATGGGTGTTTATCAAACTTGGCGTACCGCAAAACTATGAGTTTCCTGCTCAAGCATGAAGAATTCAACATGATTTTGGGGTTCCCTTCAAGGCAATCAATCATGCTTTGCTGGAGAATCCACCATTGAGTTCCTCGATTTCCCAGCTATTTAAACCTTCATCTTCCAACATTTGCACTCTGGTTATTTAACATGGCTATGGAAAATGGCCCACATATAGATGGATTATGGTGATATACCTATTAAAAATGGTGATTTTCCATGGCTATGTTAAAAAACCAAAGGGTTGATGTTTTTCCCAGTTCCAAACCTCCTCTTACTTCGGGGATCTATGGACGTGGCAGATGCGGGCGCCTTGCTCTTGGACGTCCTGATGCTTTCAGGCACGTTCATCGCACCGTTACCTGGGGAACGACCAGGTCTTCCCAGCTGGTTCAAAGGGCCGGGGTGTGGAACCTTGGCAAACCATAGTTAACCATGATGGTGAAAACATGTTGAAACCATAGTTAAAACCATCGTTAACGACTGAGTAAATGGCTAACCCGTGAAAAAGGCAGCTACAATGGATAACCAATCAGGCAACCATTACCTTACCTTACAATGGCTAACCCGTAAACATCTTGTAACTAAGTAAGGTAAGTGAGAACAGGAGCTCCACCGATGTCAAGTCGCATGGCTGCGTAGCAGCCTCTCTCAGGAGATGATTTGGGAAACCATCTGGGTGGAGTCGACTGTGGCCACAGTCGACTTGAAACACCTGGTAAACTAACGTAGCGAACTGGAAAATCACGATCTGCTATAGGTAAATCAACGAACGAAATGGGCTTCATGTTCAATTAGGTAAAATTACCAGAGGGTATATGATGGATGCTTCAGTGGGTTACTTCTCTAGGCTTCGAAGCATTAGGGGGAAACAGCTAAGCCGTAAGCCATCACAGTAGGACCCAAGGGACCACAAAAATTGAAACGCAACATGTTGCCCAACATGTTGTATCAACTATCCGTTTAAATGGACACCCAATGACTTTAAAATACCCATTTTGTATGTGTTTTATTGCATGTATTTGCACTCTTTGATGAACTGAGTAGAATTGAGTAGAATGGTTCATGTATATGTCATAAGTCTGTCCATTGAAAATCCCATATGGTCATGGATCAAACTCTGATAAAGAAATCTTCATCCCCTGAATTTTGATATCATAGGATACCCATGTATTGAACGTATTGGGCAAATGTCAGATTTTAGGGCACAGACACATATCATATTGTTGCTTAGTTATAGCCTCACTATACTCCCATGATATGCCCATGTCCCTAAGCCATTTCTGTGGGCCGCCCGACTGTTGGGGTCAGCTGGGTCTTGAGCGTTTCCTAGGGTGAAGATGAGCCCCAGATCGTTTGCTAAGATGGTCTATAGGTAGATTAACTAGGGTTTATGATTGAAGTAGCTACACTTAATGGAGGGAATGGTAAAACAACGTATATAACTAACTAAGGGACCGCAGGTGGTATTGCGTTCCGTATATATAATATATATATATAATATATATATATATGAACATATATATATATATATGTGTGGTATGTTAATTTATTCTGTAACATGTGTAGTGTAGATATAATACGTGAGTGTATATATATATATATACATATTAATTTATTAAACACACACACATATATATAATATATATATATATATATTGTGTATCCAGACTGATCATCAGCTTAGCCAGAAACGATGTGTATTCAGTGCAATCTAGTTCCCTGTGCCACATGTTTAAGCGGCATCACCTACCATTCACCAGTCACTCTCGCCGTGCGCCTTGCTGCAATTCTTCGTTCAATGAGGCAGGAAGCCCCAGCCTCGGTTGTTCATCTGCTTGACCTTTTCTTCATGCTTCTATCTATATATCAACCCCGAAAGAAGGGATAGACTCCGGGATAGACAAGTACATTCTGAATCTCGTAAATTATAGTACTATTTTGGGAAGTGACTTAAATCGAAATCATCATTTGGTCATCTATGATTTCAACCTACCTGCCTTTTCTTCCGGGCGAACGATGAAGAACACTTAGACTGGCCACGTGCAGGGTGTTCACCCAAAGTTAAATTGGGGGTGTTACACACTCAGATGGAACAGGCCCTTGCGAGAAGTCACCACCCTACAAATTGGCCGGGCTAAAACCATGCCTGGCGAACCTTCCACGGCAGCACCTGGTTCAACCTTCTGTATATCAGAAATGATCAGAACTCATTTGGTGGGCGAATTTAGGATTGATTTATGGTTGGTTTGGGCAAAACTTATGGTTGGTTTGGGCAAAACTTAGGCTGATAGTGAGCTCCGCAGTGCGCAGGGAATGAAGTATGTCTGGGCCCAATGTTTCCACTTCTAAATAAGGTTTTTAGATAGTCACGGATAAGTGATATCAGAGCCACATTTTTCCCTGGAAGTATTTTGAAAATCCGCCAATGCAAAGGAAGCTCTTCGAAAGGATGGGTTCATGATGCGAAACGATTCAAATGTGGTATTTGAAGACTAAGACGTTGTAAATCCCCGAGATCACCGGATGATTTGCGGCAGACCCCCAAACAAATGCCGAACAAACCCCAAGAGTATTTCCCGGATAACGGTTCGATGACATTTTTCTCATGTCAAACAATATAATTCCCAGGCTTCCAACGTTTCGCTGTCGACCTGGGGGTTTGCTATAAAGTCGTGATGATACTGGGCGATACCGGGCGCCTCTAAAGCCTTCATGAAAAAACTAAGGAACCTATACAACTTTAATGTTTGTGTTTTTGCACCTGGGTTACAACGGTTACATTACTGGACCCCTTTCTGAATGGCATTTTGAAAAGGCTTGTTTTTGCATCAAAAAATGTCAGGTTCGAAATGGTCTGAACATGTGCTGTGTTGATGCCCGGTTGTCAATGTTGTGTTTGGGGGTGAGGGGTTGGTGGGTGGGTGGAGGGTTGATTTCACCTCGAGAACATGTCTCTGAAGTCACCTTGTTTATGGTCTTTTCTGCACGTTGAAGACATTCTGAAAAAAAAACTTCTCATGTCTGAACATATGGTTCAAGTTGCGCTGTATATTGTTTTTGTTCATAGGTTTTGGATGGTCTGATGTATTTCATGTGGAGAATACATCGTGGAAGCAGCTGTGACGATTGCTTACCTTTTTTAAGCGGCTGGTAAAAAAAGACATATCAGATGCATTCGGATGAACGGCGCTGCTGGCAAAAGCGGCACTTTGCGAAACCACAAACAAGAAGACTTGAAAACGTGCAAAAAAACATCTATGTTTTGAACACGGACATCATAAATTCATGGACTTACGTTGAAGAAATTAACATCATTTCGGCCCTGGTGGCACCAATAGAGCCAGTACAAATACGCCTATCCCATCTCATTACTAGTTGGTTCAAGACGGTTTCCCTAATAATCCGGATATGGGTTAGTTCATAATCCCCATTGCAGGTAGTCCAATCTCCTATACTGGTTGGTGGTTAACCACTTGAAAAATATTGGTCAATGGCCAATGGGAAGGATTATCCCATATATTATGGAAAACAAAAAATGTTTGAAACCACCAACCAGATATTGATCCATCAACAGAGGTATTTTTTTAACTTAGTACAGTAAATGGTTATACAATAACCATGGTTAGGAAGTCCTCGACTCGTGGATTGTTGTGTGGGCAGCCCAACAATACAGTCCTCTAAATCACCATAAATGGGTGGTATAAACCATCCCCAAATGGTAGCTTTAAGGCATTGGATTGCCCACATCATCCCATTTATGATCGTTTCTTCATGGGGAAACTAAACCAACTTAGATATCCACATATCATCACTTATCCACTATAGCCCATTCTATCCCAGATGCCATGATAATAAGCAGTCCTTGTTTTTTTTTGCTATGGCTACCTGGTTGGTGGTTTCAACCCCTCTGAAAAATATGAGTTCGTCAGTTGGGATGATGAACTTCCCAATATATGGAAAATCATAAAATTCCATGGTTCCAAATGTTCCAAACCACCAACCAACCATGATAATAAGCAGTCCATGGTTTCTTTAACTATGGCTACTAACCACTGACCATTTCTGGGATGATCCTCCCCGTCCACCTTGGGATCCAAACGAACTGCACTCCGACACAGCGTCCGACGGCTCACAGATCACGGGCACCGACACGGGCACCTGAAGCCACGAGAGCTGTTGGTGCTGATTGACCCCAAGAAAAAGGTTGGTGGTGGGGATTTAACCATCAGAAAATTGATTGATTTAACCAATGAATAGGGGATTTGATGTGGATTTAACCATCAGAAAATTGGTTCATTGAACCAATAAACAATCGATTTGCGCTGGTTTAAGATGTTTAAGCATCATTTGAAGGGATTTGTAGTGGTATTAATTGGAAAAACATCTATAATAGGTATGCTTCGTGGGATGTCGGATATAAAAGCTATAGCCAATAGCATGATAGTAGGGTATGTCGGAACATTGAGCAAATCACATAAATGCCAATGTTGAAGGAAAACTGATCCCTATTTTTGTCAAACCCGTATTGTAAGAAAATGGAAAGCCTAATTACTCCCCCAAAAGTTGACACGCTGAAAAACAATCCAATTGGGATTTGAAATGATTTGAATATGTTTAAATATTTAACCCCGAAACATGTGGCATATGGATGCATATGGATAATTACAATCCAAGCCTCAACACGGAACCGCAGCATGGCCATATCCAGTAGAAAAATCATCTTCCAAACCCGTCGAAGAAGAAGAGATCCATACTATATGCAGGAGGTGTGCAAACAATTCCATCCGATCAATAGTACCTGCAAATACCGCGGTTTAGTAGTGGATCTCTCTATGGATCTCTATATGATTCGAGAAGTGTGTTTTGCCTGAAGTTCTGAAGTGTATGGCTTTTCTGATCACTGCAGTGCAGAGCGAATGGGCGGTTTGAAGGATTTGGCTCTGATAAACAAACAGTTTGCTATTGAAAATGGCCCAGTCGAAATAGTTGATTTACCTAGCTATAAAATGGTGATTTTCCATATGTAAACGTTTACCAGAGGGTATGTCAAACATTGCGTCATGGTTAGGAGATTTCACCCAAAAAAAGGGGCAACACTAGCAGTGCAAAGCCTGAAGAAAAGGGCTGGTCGCATCCCCATGGATTTTCACACCACTCTCGCGGTCGGGGTTCGTTTTTTTTTAAAAATAAACTCCTCCGACGGTGGGGCTCAATTTAATGGCTACAATCCACACATACAATGTCAGTTTGAAACCTAAGTTGAATACACATGCATGTTCATCTCGGGTATAGGTCCACATTTTGGACCTACGGAGGGATTTCCATAGCCATCCAGGCCTGTCAACCAGACCACAGAAGGAGAAGCTGAGGCTGGTGGTGAAGAATATTAACCATGAACCCCTTGGTGTCATTGTCCCCTTCGATTCATTCTCTCAGTGGATTGGTTTACGGGACAATTTACAGGAAAACTTCATATTTCATGGTAAAAAAACCAATGGTTTCCGGTTAAGATTTCCCTGAAACCCATCCAATCATCCAATGATTCTCGTGCTTTTGCGTATCATTTTAGTTGGTCCTTTTTGATACTTCCTCCATCGTTCCTCCATCTTCAGCTTGGCAAAGCACCAGGGGCCCAAAGTCACCTGGGGGATCAATCACCATGGATTTTTGAACACGCTGGGGAGCTCCAAGGTAAACCACAATGTTTACAGTGTTTATATATGTTTATATTAATTATATAATGTTTTTGCTAACAATCATGAATTTATTACACACCCACACACCATTTTGGGGGAGTATCATCATTTGAATGGATGCCTTCTCCGTAAAAGCATCGCCTCTATCGATGCATCGTGGTTGTGACTACTCTTGTGGGTATGGTTTCAATATGTACAAGCCTTCAGATTTGTTTTTTTCTTGTATAGGCTGGTTAAACATCAATGGCCACATATGGACCCATACTGGTTAAAGAACTATACTGATAAAATGAATGACAGACGCGTCTGAATTTGAATGCAACTGTTGCTGCAACACTCACAGTTTGGATCAACTGTTGGAGAAAACACATATCTCCGAACACTGCTGATATTGGGCTAGCTTATCTTGATCTCTTGAAACAAGTGGACTTGATAACAACGCCCCTTGAAACCAATGGCTAGTGGTGTTTTTGGCAGATCAAACCATCAATCATCAGGGTTACTCCCAGCACCCCACAAGGGGATGGAAAATGGCTAGACAAAGAAGCAGCATGATCAATTTTTCACCCTCGTGGCTGTATTTTACCATATATTACCTACAGCTACTTGCAAAATGAGTTGGACCTACCCTCAGCCTGGTGTTTTCTTGATCCTTATGCTAAACACATCTATACCATCATATCCAATCCGAAACAACACAACTGTTTTGTATATGTGTGCAATCCATCCATATTTTTTTCAATGCCAACTTCCTTGTTGAGATATGGTTTGTTGTTGTTTTACCATGGTGGTATTTAAATTAACTTGTCTTTTTCCAAAGGAACAAACACATAAACCAAGAGGAACATATACAGCATCATGGCAAAACTACATAAGACACCATCATGTATGCAGATTTGTTACTTGAAAACAATGATGCATGGACATGTTTGAAAATATTGAACTCCTACATCCACTGATTAATCAGAACTTGGAGGGTGCAGGAAAGGGTTCCGATAGTTAAGAGTCGTGTTTTGCGGTTACCGTAAGTGTAGTGTACAACAAATGCGTTTTATTTCTCCGTTAGATGGGGGTTAATAAAACAACGTAACAATGGGGCCACTTCCTGTATAGGTACCCTCCGGTAATCAAACACGGCAATTGAACATCCCCCGTTGAGTTCGATGATGTTATCATTCAAACTACCATTTACAATATTTAAAGGGATTTTTCCGTTGCCACTGATGATTACCAGGGTCTGATATGCTCCAAAGTATTTTTTTTTCAAACAAACCGACATGTAGCCATCCACACCACAGACTGGGGGCCTACATCGTCGCCGCGGTCGACCTGACATGTTGAGATGCTCATGGAATGTGTTGGCCCTGCAAGTGACACAAACCCTCATTGTCCCTTTTTAAAATAAAGTAGAATAGTATGTATACAGTGAGCATCACTTATGGTCAAAACAAATTATGTGTCTCATTGAATTCCTCGGTTACATGCTATTTGTCATAGTTGAAGCACCATTTTGGTTCCTTAAATCCTCTGAAATGTGTATTTCTGATCGTTGAATCCCCATAAATCCCTTGGTTTTTCTCCCTGACCTCGCCTGCCCGGTCTGCCGCGGAGCTTCAGCGGCGGCCGCGCGTTTTCTCGGTTTTTTGGTGCGCGGCGGGTGCAAAGCAGTCACCTCCGACGCTGGGACCCCCAAGTCACCATACTGTGGATGGGCCAGCGAAATCCGAATCACCAGTTGATAGGTGGTTTATCCCATGATTTAAAGGGTTTCAAACATCCGTTTGGTGGTGCAGGATTTCTTCCAAATGGACTGAGTTGGAGGATTGGAAGATGCGCACAGAAAACAGTCCAATAATGGGAATGTGTTTGATTTCCACTGAAACAGATCTATTTTCAATGTCTTTAAAGAAATTGGGTGGAGGGATGTGGACAGTAAATCCACATTTTGGTATGTATGTATATATATATATATGAATATATATATATATATATGGATTGGTGGGTTCAGTTTATCCCCAAAATAAGCTGGTCACCTCAACTAATCATCCCAAGTATGATTGAAAAAAACAAGCAAATGGGAATGTGATATGATACAACTTAATCTGCAATAATGATGATTTTGGGATAGATGATAGGAACAAAAGACTATTTTGATTTGGAAAATCATCTGCACATGGATATTCAATGGGTGTTCAATGGGGACATGATGGGTATATGATACAAATCAACAATATTCATATGTGCCATGGTCAAGTTACGTGGGACTACAATGGAATAGTCATATGACTTAACCATCAGCAACAAGAAAAAAATGGGATAATCGGGATGAATCATCGAATAGGGAAGTAATCGTGGGATGCGGTATGGTCACCCCATTCCACACTGGGAACCTTCATATTTGGTATTCAAAAACCTATTGACGGGGTTGTGTATACTGTATCAAGCATGACTATTGTATTACCTTGTGCAACAAATCAAAATCCCTCAAAATATGGTCTTATATGGTACAGTACCTCCATTTTAGGATCCTGAATTTTCCGTTATTTTTTTTTGCCGCCCCTTGGTAGCAACTATGATCTCGAACGTTCATGAACACAAAGATTATCAATCAGTCTTATGCGCTCAAGACAGAATATGGAACACATCGCAACGTTTTCCAATGAAAACTCACTAAAACTGCATCATGTGCTATAAGTTACATATTTCCCTCGCTTGTGGTTTTGTAGACATCCGCTTGGAATGGCCATACCAAGGCGTCATCATTTGATCATCATTTGATGCAGTCCTCTTGATGTTTGTCTGACTGCGTCAAACTGGAACACAGGAAGTTGTTCAAACAAAATGCGACAGGCTGATGTTCGTCCAACATATAAATCTACACCATTACGTTGATAATTGAAAAACAATTGATAGTGATCTTGACCTTGGCCAGAGAAGTCGTTCTAATTTGCCCAAAAGGTTGGCGATTCCAATTCCAATGCTTGTTGCATTAAAAGGTTTAGTTAATGGGGTTAACATATGACGTATGATTGGGGCTAAAATGATTTTAAATGTTGTCTTTCCAAATAAAAACTACCCATCCTGTGTTATAGCAACAAAAAACTCCATGCAAGACTGAAAAAAAACATGAAAACACACCAGTCATTGGCTTCTACACCAGCTTCAAGCCCATCCCAAATCACCAGCTGAAGGGGTGGAGCCGCCGGTCGAAAGAGGGGGCGGAGGGGGCGGAGGTGCACCTGGAGATCTGCAAGTCAACCCGGTGGGATGGCTATGTTGGTGATTGATAACAGTTGACGAGTGGTACCCTCTGGTAAACATTTACCTAACTATGGAAGATCACCATGTTTAATAGGTAAATCAACTATTTCTATGGCCATTTTCAATAGCTATGTTAAATTACCAGAGGGTAAATCATGCTTAATAGAAACAACTGCTTAACGATGGTCAGTTTATAAAAGTTCGGCGAAATGACAGTGGCCCAAAAATACAAGTTTCGATTGTTTTAACTAGTACGCAATATATATATACACACATACATTTTGTTACCTTTATGAGCCAATGTGTGTATTAAAACAACTATTGCTATGAAAAATGACGATTAACAATGGGTACTAGGCTGTACTCATAGTATTCAAAGCCAATAGCCAATTGCCTAATGACTAGCAGATTGCGTTGACAGTTTTCACTTGTATTCTGTAATAGATGCAATTTAAAATGAATGACTGATGTTTAAAGAGAACACTGTTTATGATATATGATAAATGCTCATATTATTGCCGCATGCTCAAAACAGTTTGTATAAATCCACATGGTAGGAAAAAACTTTCCAACAGCAGTGGGGGTTGAACATTTGAACATCGGTGAACATCATTTGCATTCCTATTTTTGGATTTGTGAAGATTGTACAAAGTAAAAGATATCCCCGATAGATTCCCACATGGTGGGATCATCAAAGGGAAAAACAGAGCAACTTCAGCAAATCCAGGCATGTCCCAGGGGGGACCCAGGCCTACCCCTTTGGGAGTGTCTGGGAGTGGCCTTCATCAACTGGTATCAAACTACAGTTATGGCCCGAGTTATACCAGTTATAAGATGTTATAAGTACTAACAAAACCCAATTTATAGAATGTGTCTTCCCATAGAAATCACCAATTATTTCACCAATAGCCATGGCCATAAGTGGACCTCACCTGCGGCAACAACTCGGTCTTGGTATGATCGAACTTGCGGCAAAAATTTTGGATCAAAGTGTAGGCCCCAAACTGACTCACTGCCATCCATTGATCAAACGGGGTGTATGGAACTCCATTGGTTCATATTTTGGATAGAAGAGGTCCAGGGCTTTTGAACGGCAGGATTTTAATGAAAACCCTTGGAACATATGGGAATATCACCTATAAATAATGATTTAATGGGATAAAATGGTGATTCGATGCGATAAAATGGTGATTTAATGGAATTTAAACAATTGGCAAATTAACAAGGACATGGGCAACTAACAACCATAGATATGAAAAATCCACCATTAAAAAAAACTGGCTATTCCTCATGGGTTTTCAATATCCATGTCCGTGTACTGTTGAAATGCAAAGCAAGGCTAGGAGGTCCCCAAAGCGGTGGTATCCCAAACATGAACTGGTGAATAGCTATGGTTAGCAATTCTCCACAAAAGATTATCATCCAGTAGATCCCAGTTGCGGGATATGTTTTGGGGCTCTATTGCCGCCAGTTAGTTTTGGTTATAACCATGCAGCTATACATATATTGCAGCCAAAAACATACTTGGGCGACGTAATTTTACAAACCAATTTAGCTAACGAACTGGGGCACAACCTGCACCACCCTTGAGGGATCCCCGGGTCATAGCACCTTGCTTTTCCTCAGAGAACTCTGCCAGGGTTCAAAGCCTATGGCGCAAGACGGCCATTGTTGGTGAGTACTTGGATCTGGGTATGACCCATTTTATATAACCCAGTGAACTACACGTAATGTCTCCATATGTTTGGACTATGCCTCTATCTATTTGTCTATCTGTCTGTCTGTCAATCTATTTATCTATAAATTTGTATGTCTAATATATATATACATATAAATGTTTGTATGTATGTATGTATGTACGTACGTACGTATGTATGTATGTATGCATGCATACGTATATATATATATGTATATGCATACGTATATATATATATATATATATGTATGTATGCATGTGTGTATATATATATATGTGTATGTATATATGTATATGTATATATGTATATATGTAAATATACCTGAACCTTCCTTCGATACACTAAAAAATGCTCAGAAACAAAAAACGCTCATTTCCAAAAAAATGCTACAAACTACAAACCCTTAAAAAGTGCTCATTTGGTTGTTTCATTTTGTCGGGCACACCCACATGTTCAAACAGCCGGATCCCCAAGGATTCTTGCATACACTGACACAATCACGCTACGCTTAGGATCACGCTGCTTAGGCTCTCCGCAACCAACATCATTCGCCGCTGCTGCGAGTAAGTCATCAAATTCACTTGGATGGGCCGAACTAGACACTTAAGCTATTGAATATCCACATTTGGGAGGCAAGTGTCAGTAGTGCCCGTACACTTTTTGAATTGCGCCCCGATTGCGCGAAATTGCGCCCTGATTGCGCGAATTTGCGCCCCGATTGCGGGGTACCAAGTTGTCCAAAACGTCAAAAATGTCAAAAATGTAGAATCAATTCTTTTGAGTTTGGTCCCAATGTGCATCCTCCCCAGGAAGCATAAATTAGGAGATAGATGCTAATTTAGATGCAAAACTCGCTTCCAGGATTGGCTTCCACCAGCTTGAGTATGGGCTACTGTAACTTTGTGGATTTCTCCAAGAGTTTTAATAGATACGAAGGTGTAAAATGGGTTTGAACCCCAAAAAGTGCTCATATCCATTGAAACCCCCAAAAAGTGCGCAGACCCTCAAAAAACGCTCAGGGATGGCAGAAAGTGTATCCAACCAGGGGTTTGCCAGAAAAAAGTGCTACAATGGAATCTCCAGGTATATTTAATAATAATTTACTTACACACATAATCTGTTTATAAACCGCTTATACAAGCACATGGGTTATCAAACCACTTCCTCAATGGTATGCACATCGGATCGCGCCTCCATCCGTTTCCCGCAAAACCGCTGGTTCCTCGAGTCGCTCCCCAGGCTCCAAGAGCAAGTCCTTGGAGCGATGGCACCCTGGGGTAGTCTGCTAAATCGCAGCGCCCCAAAATGGTTTGGTTTATGGAAAAACCTTTCGCAATGGATGATTTAGGGGTAACCCTATTTTAGGAAACCTCCAAACGAACATCTTTGATATCAGTCTGCCAAATACCAATGGGTAATGGATACAAAAACCATTGGGCTAGTGTCATATCACGCGAATTATCAAGATATCTTATTTTTTTCATGGAGATATTGATGACTAATGGCTAATGGATACAAGAAAGGGCTGCAAACAAAAACCCATCGGGGATATTGGTTTGGATGACTCCTTATGTCCGGTCATGTCTTGCACTTCTGAGAAAAATACGTTGGACTTACCCAAGCAAGGTTGCCCTACATGGCCAGGCAGTGGCTCGAAGGCTGCATAAATAGCAAGAGGAGAAATAGGGGAATTCACCAAGAAACATTGCTAACATGATTGGCACACACAAAAAAAATCCAAGAATGGATGAACAACCATTGAATTTCCCATGTACAAGACATCCAAACGGCGCAAACAAAAGCTGGGGACTGTAGCATGGTGAAGCTGGATATGAAATACTTTCCATGACAAGGATTTATACTAAACAAATACAAACAAGTGATGAAGGAAATGATGTAAACCCTGAAAAAAAGGAGAAAACCAATTTTCAGAAAAAAACAACATGGCGAAACATTTTCTGACCCATCTTCATCGATTGCCAGGTGCCAAGGTGCCATTCCCATGTCCAAAACCGTGTATTTATGGGCAACCGATGGCAAATCTATGGGTATTCGGGGTCACAGCAGTGGAGGGGCAACTGTTTATCTTATATACGGTAGATCTTGTCCCATGATTTGCCCTAAGATATCAAAAACACATATCCAACATCTATGGACACGCCACAGCAAACATGTGTAGATAATGAATTGGATTAAAACCCACTGGGAACTTAATATCATGCCAAGCCAAGCCCATGATTTTCCATCAGAAAAAGCCCCTCGGAACAACTTGGTTTATATATAATCGTTCAAAACCCAATCTATCTATCTAACTAAGTATCTATCGATCTAATTATCTATCTAACTATCTATCTATCTATCGATCTATCTATCTATCTACCTACCTGCCTATCTATCTATCTATCTAGCTTTCTATCTATCTATCTATCTACCTATCTATCTATCTATCCATCTATCCATTTATCTCTCTATCTCTCTATCTCTCTATCTATCTATCTATCTATCTATATATCTATCTATCTTATCTTATCTTGCCTTGCCTTGCCTTATCTTATCTTATCTTATCTCTCTATCTATCTATCTCTCTATCTCTCTATCCCTCTATCCCTCTATCTCTCTATCTCTCTATCTATCTATCCCTCTATCTCTCAATCTCTCTATCTATCTATCTATTTATCTATCTATCTATCTATCTGTCTCATTATCTGTCTCACCTATCTAATCTGTCTATCTATCTATCTATCTAATCTAATCTAACCTAACCTAATCTAATCTATCTATCTATCTACCTATCTATCTATCTATCTTATCGTATCTTATTTTGCCTTGCCTTATCTTGTCTTATCTTATCTTATCTCTCTATCTATCTATCTCTCTACCTCTCTATCCCTCTATCCCTCTATCTCTCTATCTCTCTATCTACTTATCTATCTATCTATCTATCTTTCTTTCTTTCTTTCTTTCTTTCTCTTTTATCTCTTTACCTCTCTATCTCTCTATCTCTCTATCTCTCTATCTCTCTATCTCCCTATCTAGCTTTCTAGCTATCTCTCTATCTATCTATCTGTCTATCTGTCTATCTATCTATCTACCTATCTATCTATCTATCGTTCTTTCTATCTATCTATCTACCTATCTACCTATCTACCTATCTACCTATCTACCTATCTATCTATCTGTCTATCTATCTATCTATCTATCTATCTAATCTATCGAATCTATCTAATCTATCTAATCTATCCAATCTATCCAATCTATCTAACTTATTTCTATCTATCTATCTATCTACCTACCTATCTATCTATCTACCTATCTATCTATCTATATTTCCATCCATCCATCCATGCAACCTATCTATCGATCTATCCATCCATCCATCCTACCTACTGCATCTATCTATCTATCAATCCATCCAACCTATCTATCTATCCATCTATCTAATCTAATCTAACCTAATCTAATCTAATCTACCTATCTATCTACCTAGCTATCTATCTACCTATCTATCTATCTTATCGTATCTTATCTTGCCTTGCCTTATCTTATCTTTTCTTATCTTATCTTATCTCTCTATCTATCTATCTATCTATCTCTCTTTCTCTCTATCCCTCTATCCCTCTATCTCCCTATCTCTCTATCTACCTACCTATCTATTTATCTACCTATCTATCTATCTATCCATCCACCCATCCATCCTATCTATCTTTCTATCTATCTCTCTCTCTCTCTTTATCCACCAAAAATCCAAGCTAATTAGCGTATAGTTTTAAACTAACCTTTTATAAATCAACTGGTTTCCACTGTGTAGTCTTGGTATGTCTTGGTTGGTTAGGCCAAAGTCCCTATATGTCTTGCGTTCCGTTCCTGCCCAGTAGCATACTGGCGATCGGCGCGAGGGACCTGAAGCCGGACCAAGGCGGGGTTGGTAGCTGGCAGGTGAAGCCGCCCTGGCTGATCGCCTGTGGTGAAAGATTTTCAACTACTACTTGGATGAAGATATGTCACACTCAACCTATGCCAATAGTTTTCTACACCAGCTAGGTGGGGTCCACACCTGCATGATCTTCCAGGGACCCGCACCCTGCTGCCCTCTGCCGTCAAACGTCCGGCCTTTGGCGCCTCGGTCGCAGGAATTTGTAATGGTCACTGGGTGGTTCATCCCATTTATATCTGGACAGCGCCCCTACCTGCCAAATTTATAACTGGGGTGAACTAACACATTACTAAGCGAGATGAGCCAAGTGCCAAACCAAACCAACCATTTGGGCGAGCATTTATCGACCCATCCTATTGAGGACTATTGAGCCGCGTCATCGAGCATATGAAACCGCAGCCACATTTCAATGCAAACTGCTGTTCCCTTAATCTTAGGCGCCGTCAGATCTATTGCCATGGCGACCTACAGATACAAAAAGAACTTGCAGTTGCTACAAGTTCTGCAAGCGTTCCACATGTGTAGAAACAAAAAAAATCACCTGCGACGCAAACTCATGTCTACACACGGTCCACATCCTGTTGACATAGCTATTTGATCAGACAATAGGTCTAATTCTTTGTCGAAATCGGCATCGGAACTGTCCTTATTGTGTCGACTTCACATGGTCGACCAGACATCATGTTCACGGAGCGGGTGAACTCCAAGGAACACTTGTTCCATTGAGGCATGATCATACCTCCATGAAGCGGGGGTTTAAGATGTCCAACATGCTGATTTTATCTGATTTTATCTGATTTTATCTGATTTATGCAAGGAGATAGCCCTTCCGATGCTACTTTAATATCCCACGTGGTCTGCGGTAAAAAAAACATGCTACTATGGAAGGAGACAAGCGACACGATGTGGCCTTGTTGGCCTTGTACTACGTCCATCCGCTGTGGTGGGTTTATCAACAATACGTGTAGGTCAAAGTTCAGCTTGCGAAACGTAGGATCTAGTTTCGACCCATGGTGTATCTTCCCAAAGAGCCAATTTGAAAATTACTAATACAGTAAGTAGTCTCTACAAAGAAGGATTGGACATAAGAAAGAAAAACTACCAAGTACCAGCTACCAATTGTCATCTACGTTCACAAATGTCACTTCTTGTTCAATATTGAAACACGCTGAGAAAATGGTGCTCAGGAAAAAAAACAGCAAAGCCCCAAAACCAAGTGTCTCCCATCTACTGTTGGAATATGAGTGAACCGCGCTTGGATGATCCTGGAAGTTCAGATTGATGGTTGGTATGGTATTTAAAGACCTGAATCTGTTCCATGTAGCTGCAATCTTTATATGGTTCTAGTTCTAGCATGTTATGACCCTGTTCTCAACGATTCAGGTCCCCCAAAGATCAGGTACCACTTATCACCATGGGTTTCTCCACTAAAATTAGTTCAGTTGGTTACGGTTCCTCCACTAAACGTATTTACTTTGTTCTCTGCATGCGAAATGACCAAAAACATTGGATACTTGGTGGTACACCTGAACTAGTAAGTGAGCTTCAACTGAACTGACCTTACACACCCTACTTACAGCTGGGTTCTAAAAATCACTTGCTAACGGGCGTGAGCTGGATGATTTTTGGGCTGCCGACTTGAGGCGGGCCATCACTGAGGTAATGGCCAATCGCTTCAACTGGACAAGGACCATTCGCTGCCTGTGACGGGCCCAGCCATGGGATTTCCACCATGGCCTGATGCCCAGCCATGGCTTGAGAAATGGACCATTTCCTGCAAACACATGTAGCATGAAAGCATGAAATTGCAAGATATCACCAGCAACAACATCAAATCCACCAAGTTAAAGCAGATGTCCAAAAAAGACCAACAAGAACCATCACTGGCTCCGATGTGCACGGCGCCTGGGAACACAAGCTCCGCGGGTGGAAACACGACCTGACAGCCCGGAATCATGAGGTAAAGGTGTTGACATATACATTGCCCACCAATTTTCTTGGTGAAACCCTCAATGTTGTTCCTGAAACCGCTACTATTGTCGGTGAAACCATTATGTAGCCAAACAAACCCGTTAGTGTGTCTGTATTTTCCTTGGCTAGACCCAACATGGGTATGGGTGTGAATCAAAATGTGCAACAATCAAAACTGCAAATGCGAGTCACTTTTGGCACTGAACATGACGACCAGACCTACACCCAGAATCCAAGTCCCAAGTTGCTAGCTGATATGTACATATGTACCTGCTGTATATACATATGTATATATATATGT